TGGAATCCTTGGAACTGGCACCGACACTAGGTCCAATGAAGGCTGGGACGAGATGAGCATCAATGACAGCGCCCGAAAATAAGCTGTAAGGCCGCAGGCAACATCTTTTGCGATGCTTGTCGGCAAAATAGCATGCACCTGTCTCATGACACAACAGATTGCAAAGATTCATTCGTTCTTACGCTTCAGGTCTACATTAATTATTCACGGGGTGCGCGAGAATGCGATCTTTTTCTTGCATGGATGTATTCCATTCTGTCTGGACTATACGCAGCGAAATCCAGTCACGCCAAGACCAACCATCGTGCAGGCCACGATGCAGCACCTCTGCGTCAACTTCCCAGTATTGATATTGAACATTGAGAACTTGGAGGCTGCTTCATTCGGACGTTCAAAAATGAAATAGTTTCAAAGTGCCTAGCGCCCACGCTGCTCAAGTTCATAAACCCCACCACAGACATGCGCGGGCTGCAAAATCAATAGAGACACAGTACAGAGATACTGCGCATGCAGGAAAGAGTATGGCGATGGTGTGATGGGAAACACATCAAGCACACAGCGTGAAATGATGCTGAAAGCATGGAGTCATGTTCTCACGCTCTTGCGCAATCCAGTACCTCCAAGCAGCCGCTGAGCCTTTGGAAATCTATGAAAACATCTGGTGGAAGATTGCTCGTCAAAGATTCGATGGATGTGTTTGTGACTACAGGGGCGTCAAATTTCTTGCACGCGTCCTTGGTCATGTCAAAAGGGGAATCCACCCGGAGGATTTCGGCCCTGTCTGAGATGCCCTGTAGATCGGGAGCACAGTGAGTAAGCGGCGACCATCTGCTTCCATCAAATACACCTCATTCATGGTTGCTGTCAGCAATGCGTCGACACATTGGGAGAGAAAGGAGTCCAATCACTTTGAGAAACAGAGTTAGTTTAACCTGCATGGCAATAACAACTTCCATGGAGCCAGGATTGAGCCGCCTTTCCAGGGATCATCGCTCACAGCATTCAAAGAGCTGCAGCAATTGGATAGCAGGTAGGCATACGAGGTAGGGGATTCGCTTCTGGGAATGACGATTTGTCCATCCATTGCTTTTGTCGAGCGTCCAACAGCGTCAAGCTGATGGAATTCCTGTCTTTACTGTGTCAAATTGTGCACTGTCAATCGCATTCTTGGCACCATTATTTGCCAATGGGGGAGAGCTTGCAAGGTCTCTCTGTCACATTACAGGGAAATGCCACACCAACATTACATTTTGCAACCATCAACTGATTTGCTCAATGGCGGCTCATGACTCATCAGTTACGAGCCATCGGTATCACAAGCTCCTCTATCAGTATTTTAACCTGCCATAGCAGTAATGTTGAATGAGGGTTCACAGCCACTGTTTCATCCAGTATATTGACTAGCTTCTGTGCAAGTGCATTGCGGATGTGCAAACTGACAGATGGCGAATCCCACTCGCACTGCAAACCTCGTGTGGTGCTGTTGAGGTAGTCCCAACATCAACTTCTGATTCAGGCAAAAGACACAGATTTGCATGCTGTGGGCCTGGGACCCAGGCGCATCTCTTGCTGCCAGCCCACCTGACGCATAGCTTCCACAGCAGTGAAATCCTTCCTATCAAAAACTGGGGCCACAATACCAGTCCCTGGATGCTTTTTCACGAGCGAATTTGTAACTCGCCAAATTCCACTGCTGCCACCACCTTCAGTGACGCTTCTAGGCATGCTGGCATTGCGAATGTATATGCCACCCTTTGGACAGCCTGTACTGAAGTTCTCTTGGCACCAGATGTCGCCCACAGGCACAAATGCGCTGTCGTTCCTCTCAAGCAACAAGTTGAGGAAAGCGAGAATATTTCGAACGGGTCGATGTGGGGGTCGATGCGGGGGTCGATGTGGGGCGCTGAACAGGGCATCATTTCTGACCCGCCTGGGCCGTGGGATCTCCAAAATGCAGCTGTGTATGGTGAGGTTCTCATACACGTCGAGGTCGCTCGTCACTTTCTCCAGATGAAGGCCAAAGATGATGTGCAATCTGCAAGTGAAGCCACGTCATGAGCAATACGACCAAACTGCGCAGTGAGGGCCTTGACGCTATTTCAATGGCTGGAAGGTCTGAAACAAGTTCAGTTGCACACACTTTGCGGGCTGGCATAATGTTTTGCTAGAATGGTACTTACTCCGCCCCGAAATGAATGGCAGCTGTGATTTGTGGCCTTGGAAAAAGTCACCAAAACGGCTCCAGCAACGCTGAATTTTGACCAGATGTAAAAATTTGTGTCAATTTTGACCAATCTGATTTTGGATCAATCGGCTATGTACTAAGGGTAGATGTAGCCCCCCAAACACGGGCATGTGGGAGAAAATGTCGTGCAAATCTCAAGGTGGCTCGGAAACGTCCCATGACCATGGAACGTCCGTGGCACTCGTTGCTCACTGTTGTGGAGCGAATACTCGAAGCAAAAGGCGGCAACAACTTAAGTTGGCCCATTTGGCGAGAAGCAAGAGCAGGAGCTGGGGAAGACGTGTCGGAGGTTGTGGTCATACGCAATTGGTGATGCAACCCACTTTTTGAATCGTGGTGAAACGGCCAGGGATTGAGTTTCTGTGATGGATGAGGATGGTTCCTAATGGTTTGGCACCTGGCCTTTCCATTTTTGACATCGATTAGTAACTTAAAAAGAAATAAACACTGATTTTGCCGTTATTCATAACCGCCATTCTTTTGGCGGCAGAGGAAGTACATAACTTACATTATTCCGTTTCAAACATAGATGAATTCTGTGCTTTTAGGCACGCATCCACATACTGCCATTTCAGAGAGATATGCATCAGCAATAACGGCTATATTGCGTGTCTCTAGCCCTGGTTGATTCGCATGGAATAGCTAAATTTTCTGCTATATACTCTAAGTACATTTCTGCATATCAAATCAGTACTTACATGAGTAATTGAATTTGGTGCATTCGAAATAGATCAAACAGCGCTAGAATAGGATCAATTGATGTACCGTTGACCGCCCTGTTGCTGTCATTGTAGCCGGTGCTGTGCACCATGTTCCTGTTGGAAAGCAGAGATGCAGCTGCACCTGCCATGCCAGCCTGGAGTTCACAGCACATAACCCACCTTTCCAGCGTGAGGTCAATGGACCCTGAGAACAGCCGATTGAAGATTCTGGTATCCAGGTCAAGAATCGGACGGCCTTGCGCTGTCAGGTTCCTTGATTTGGCAGGGGTGATCTTCCTCTTCCCTTGAGCGCCTGGCAGTTCTGACGCATTCAGCGCTTTCTCCCAGCCATAGTAATTTCGGACTGCAACATCATTCTTCAGTCGAATGACACCCAACGAGCTGCATGGCAACAGGTGGGCGTCAGCCATGTGCTCATTCTTTCAGTTCAAACCGCGCATGTGCTATGAGGGCTCTGGAAAATCATTTGAATTCTAAAAGGCCGCAATGCACAATGGCTGATCGTGCAGGATTTCCAGCATAGTAAAAAAGGTCGCTGTCAGCGGGAGAACAACATTCAGCGTGTCCTTGCGTCCGCTGTACGTAGCATAAGGCAATGAACTCAATTTTGTCTGCACTTGAGCTTAGCAAGACAGTAAAATGATTTCCTTCTGGTAACAACTTGACCATATGGTCAGGGCTGTTCCAACCATGGGATGTGAGGACAAATTTCGGTTGGTCTTGACGAGTGAAACAACAGAGTCCTATCACGCTACCAAAACACTTCCGACCGTGACGAGAACAAGGGCATTGATCCTCCAGGCTCCTCTGCGCGGCACTACTCAGACAACAGGAACGACGCAACTGCTGCCAATTAGGATGGGTGAATCAAACCACACCTGTTCCTCACAGCTGTGTAGAATTGAGTCGAGTTCCTCACAACTACAGTCTCCCCATGGCACCCTTCGATGACCAGAAACAGGCCCACAGCCGTAAACATGAGGTGCAGCCACATCCCGGATTTGAGGATGCACACCAGGGAGGACAGCTCTGCCGCTCCCGTTCTAGGGGCCTGTGCGCAGCATTGAGGTCTTCTTGTCAGCGTGGAGATTTCTTTCTTGTAAATAAACGTACCAATGCCAAAGTCGGCAAACCCGTTCCTGACAAACATGTTTGCAGAGTTGTTTGCCCCGCAATTGTGCCTCCTTTCCCGGGCCACGACGCTGGGAAAGTCCGCAACAGGCGCGACTCGAAGGGGAGGCCTGAAGCCCTGTTTGCGGCCTGCAATCCACCGCAATCGACTGGACTTTGCGCATGCAGCGCACAGACGGGCACGTTCGAATTCACTCCATCATTGCGCCCCGGGGCCCTGGCCCCAAGCCGGCACCCGCCGACGGGCGACCCACTGCATCCCTTGACACCATTCGCCACCCCGACGCCGACGCTGTCGAAGCCGCGAATCGTCCAAGAGGCCATTCTCAGAGCCAGACTGGCGCCTCTCCGCTCCCGCAACAACGCGGCGGACCTCCCACGACGGCCTGCGATTTTGCATCCGACACGGCAGTGCGGCGCGCCACTCGCGCTGGCCGAGACGGGGCAATCGTCCCCAGATAGTTGCTGGGACGGCGTCTCCTCAGCCCCCACCCTCCGCCCCTCGTCATGGCGCGAGGGTTGCTAAAGCCGCGCCACGCAACGGAACAAGGGGCGGTTGCGGAGCACGGTCTGAGAGTGGCGGACTCGTTTGGAGAGGGCCCAACAGCTCCTGAGCGCACCGTTGCCCCGTTCATGTGGCCCTTGGGACCGCCAGCGGCGCGTCCGGTCCCGGGTCACAGGTCCTCGTGGCCGCCCGGAGGACTTGGGCGACTTCCCAGCGGCCCCCCTGATCCCATGAGGCGCAGGCTCGCCTCGAGGCGCGGGAGGGCGCCGACTGCACGTTCTGAGGCACGGAATGCACTCGGGGAGAGGCGGTGCGACGGGCAGCGTGTTCCGCTCTGTGCCGGGCTCGCTCTGCCGCCGTCGGCAAGGCCGTGACGGTGATCCAGCCCGCCCGGGCGCAATTCATGCGAATGGCAGCCCTCCCACAGGTCCTTGTAGTTAACGTTGCGGCGCGGGAGCAGGGGAAGCGGAGATACGCGCTGTGGCGGTTGGGCGCCAGCGGCGAACGACGATGGTGGAGTCTGACTAATGCGAGTGATTTGTGCGTTTTGTTTGTTGACGGACCCCCTTCAGGCTTTCTGGGGCTCTGGGCTTGGCGGCGGGTCACCAGCCCAAGTCCAAGGCGTCGGGAGAAGTCTCTTGCAGGTGGGGACAGCGTGAGGTGTGGCGCGCCAAAGAGTGTTTCCGGTTCCAAATTCAGAGCACCTTCAATCCCGCTGCCCCAAGGTAGGGCGCGTCAGGACGTTTGAGTGGCCTGGTTACGCGCCCACATTCTGAGCAGTGCATGACTGGTGACGGCTTACAAATGCGTTTCTTTGCAGAGCCCGATTCTTAGAGCGTGGGTGGATTGACAGATGCACAATTGCGATTCCGTACTTTGACGGCAATTGGGAGTTGCTGTCACCAGATTTGCGACGTTGACGTCAAAGAACAAGGTGCCTCCGAACTATTAAAATATTGTTCGATGAAGCCACATAATTACCACTTTTACACTAGGTGAGTCACTTGCGCGTAATTGGCTCACGACGGGTGTCGACCATGTGCGCGATACACACTGCACGGGATGGCCCGAGTAAGCGACCGTTACTAATGAAGGAAAAGAAACAGAGTGTGGGAACGCTCCTGAAAACACTAGGGCTGCAATGCCCTGGGAGTGAGCTTCACCGGGGAAGGTGAGAGAGGCATGAGCTGACTGGAGGAGGTCGCCCTGTGCGCTCAACAGACTCATGTCACTGATTGGCTACCCAGACTGATCAGGCCAAAGACGATTCTGGGAGGTTCTGAATTGTAAGGGTGTAGGCTGTGTGGGCGAACCGAGATCATTTGATATGTTCGTGATGCTGTGGTCCTTGGGACCATTCAGACCGTCCAGACTGACGAGGAAGGGCACATGGTCTGTTGGTTTGCACGAAAAAGGGGATTCATGTGATCACAAAGTTACGTTCAGACAACATGTGACTTGAAATGTACTTGCGGCATAGGGGTCATGCAAATAAAATGGCTATCACTGTCTGGCGTGCACAAAAGTGCGTACACACATTTAATGAATCCCCCTGACATGCATGGTCACGCCCTGACACTCCCACAGGAATGCACATGCATGCATGGAAGCTAAAGTGTTGTAAGATGCCCTAACATACATGTTGTATTCTTCTTATGAGTGAGGGAACCATTTCAATGGTCTGAGGGGGCTAGCACCCAATTGACTTGTACAAAATGTGAAAAATGTTTCCCCATCATTGCCATAAAGCCCTATGTGGGTCATGACCTCAGGAAAACACCGGAAAGGGGTGTAGTTGGTTTGATGTAATCAAACACGCATGCGTGTGTTGAGCTAGAAAAAAGCAGGGTTGAAAGGAAAAAGAAAAAGAAACGATGGCCCTGGCGGGTAAGAAGGACATGGGCTGGGAGTGTTGGATGGCAAAGTGCAGAGCAGCATGCGGGCAATGCATACAGACGGAAGACCCCTAGAAATGTGTAAGATAAAAGGCGTCTTGGGGGCCTAGTCATACTAAAGGTTAAACAAACGTTGTGAAACGCTGAAAATCATGTCTTAAGTAATGGGGAAGTGTGGCAGCAAACCCACAAGGCTTTGTTAGACAGGCTCCCATGCCTTGAGATGGATGGGCATTGTTTGAAATTGTTAAGCCCATTTTTATGTTTTTGTGAAGGCGCAATAGTGCACCGCAGTTCCCCACTGTGTTCACTTCTACACAATATTCTGTGCTTTTTGTATGGGCAGGAAGAAAAATAGAGTACATTGGGGTAGGTGCTGAGCGAGGGTGCTGGGAATTGCCATAAAGTATTGTGTCTTTTCATGGCATACTTGGTGACCGTCACCTGACCAATGGATGTGATGTCCATGGGTTGCATGGTGGCAGCAAGGGGATAAGTTTGGAGGAACCCTGTGATGGCAAATCATGCTCACCAGGATGGTGGGTCAGTAGAAGTATTGTTTTAAAACGGGGAGAAAGGAATGTACTAGTAGATAATGGCATGTCACTGAGCATTACATGATTTAACAGTTGTAAAGAATCAGCCAAAGTACACGGTCCTGAAATCGGAAATTAGGAAATCCTGTAGGAAGGAAAGCCTGTTTCCTGTCGTGGGCTGGGTTGCATGTTAAGAAAACAAGTAGAAATTAGGAATCCAAGACATCATTTGAAGGTCACTGATGCGCTGAGAAAATGATAGGCATTATTTGGTTTTATTCCTGGGCATGAGGTATTGAAGTGAAGTAACGTGTGGGGAGCGTTCAGCTATTGAGCTAACGGAATTCTTGTATGTTGGTGTCATGATCAAAGCGTGCAGTATGAGTGTGCATTGAGTAGTCCGTGTGCGGCCTCGATGTGTGTGAGATCGGAAGGGTGCTGCCCATTTTGAAGGGGCCACATGTAAACTTTGGGGGGTTCAAGGGACTTTTCCGCCTTATGAAAGAGCCGTGCGTGGCTGAGGGGTCGCGATTCTATATCGTTCGTTCATGTCTGGGGTTTGGTGGGGCCGTGCTGGTTGCCGCTAGGTGCCGTGTGAGGCGATCGGGTGAATCGTGGGGAAATTTGTTGGGTGGCATACAGCATGAGCGAACGCCAGCAGATGCGATTTGTATGGTTGCTTTTTCAGGGCCTCGGAGCCCAACTTTCCGGTGTGAACTTGGTCTCCCGACCCTGGCATGGCACCTCGCGGCATGCCGCACGCATCCCCTTGCGTCTAGGGGTTTGCTTGCAGCTCCCTCTGTTGGAAACCAAAGCGGCGGCTGTGCAGCTGGCCGAACGGGCCGTGCGGTTCGACCAAAAGCGCACTGTCGCCCAAACGAATTGAAAAAGCGCTGCGCGACTTACGATAAGGTCGACGCACAGCCACATACGATTCTGTGCCGTAGAGGCGCATGTTGCTGTGAGTCGCGGCTGTGAGAACGCACCAAAAGAAGGATGCAGATGCGTGAAGTTGTGCCCTACCCAGAGACCGCGCCGTAATGGCGTCGAGCCGGCATACAAAAATATCTAAAGGCGTACGCGCTGAGCGATCGTGGTAGCACACGATCGATGTCGATTCGTGGGAGGATGCTTGGCTCTTGAGCATCGAATCGGTGCATACGGTCGACGACAGGGTGTGCCTGCTCCATTATCGTAAAATGGGTGGCTCGCGGGAACAGCATCTGAAAACATGCCACCAGGCTCACACAAAATACCGAAAGCACATGGAGGAAAGGAGGAAACCCGCAAGGAGACATTTTGAAAAGCTACAGACATGAGACCACGCTGCGTTACCTCCGCCTTCAAGCATTCGTCACGATGAATGATTTGGGGGATTTGACTGGCTGGTTGGCTGGCGGAACCGTAAACTGATCAGTTTAATGTTTCCGCCAGACAACCAGCCAACCTGTCAAATCCGCCAAATTGTGCGCGTTTTCATTGCGATCAAATTAGTATGCAAATTCAAAAACCCTCAATTTCTCAACGCATCGCCTGTATTGTGCATTGCGCACTGCGGACGTCTGCGTTAGTCCTGGCGCGGCAAAAACCACCCGGAGTATCTTGCACCTAGGTGCAGGCGTTCGTGCGAAGCCTTGTTGCCCCATTGCGACTTTACTTGGAATAAATATGGCCATAAGAAGCAGAATTATCTGCAGATATTATCATCGTCAAAATCCATGGCCTACATCTGTCATAAAATGATAAAGCACAACACGTGCACCTGGTAGGCCAGGATGGGGGTGAAAGCCAAGCAGAAAACTGCATGCCATACGCACACAGGAATACATGATAGGCATTATAATGCCAACAATTATTGGCATGGCAGACATGTGGTTGTCGTATTCACACCAAGGCAACGGAATTCGAATCGTTTTCTGCTGCCACTTATGAACGAATGCTCAAAACAAACGGCCATATTCAAACGAACGGAAAAGCAACTTGTCGTAGTACGTTGCTTGTTTCATAATTTCAACAAATCGGCGTTTTCAGCACGTCTCCTTCCACAACCCTAGCCGGCTTGCTATATAATTTCTCTTTAGGAAAATGTGGCATGGACCTTATTACAGCAATCTGTTGGTGTATTGCATATGTGGAAATGCACTAACGGCAAGGTGTAATGGGGCACTGGCAGCTTGCGCAAGCCGACTATGCCCGGCCTGGAATATTTGCTTCTCTCTTTCTGCATTCTTGGATTTGCGCAGAACACATAGGCCTCTGATTAGAATCAGATCACTCCCATTATTTACGAATGATAATATCTACGAAAATGTGTGATTCACGTAGCCAGTCAAGATGCTTTCAATTTAGAGCTTCATCGTGCCTTTGTGCTGCCGGAAAATGTGAAAATTATCCTACGAATTCATGGGATTGCTTTGCTCGAGCAAAATTCACTCATGGGATAATTTGCTCTGACGAAAAGTAGATATCAACAGCAAAGACAGGGAAAAGATCCCAGGATCCCCATCGAAAACAACAGGCTGTTGTTTGTCCGCTTAATGAGGAGCATTTTTGCGATTCGCCCTTTCATGCATTGTTTGACTGGAAATCCGTTTCTACAGACACTTTGGAATTGTTTCGACCATATGTTTGCCCTTCAATCAATACAACATTCCTGATGTATAACTGAATATTCCCTAGGGTGCCCGGAGACCTTCGAAGGACATGAGGTATTGCGATATGTGTCTATAGCAATAGATAATGATATCCATAGTGCACAGATACATGGCACATTCTGGCCACAGGCCCTCCGGAAAGGCGCGGTGAAAGTCTTCAAAAGGACTCGCCCGTCCCCTACCCTAGAGCGATTGAAAAGCGCCATAACAGATAGCAAAATTGGGATATTTTGAATGCATGTCGCTGGCGAATCGGCAACAAAATATGGGCAAAACTTTCCCACTGTCCAGGGGGATGCAATCCAAACGACATGGACAGAAACGTTGACAGAAACCCCAGCGATTCCCACAAATTCACCATACAGCCATGCAGCTCGAACGATGAGCATGCCATGGGTGCACCATGCCGAAATACGAGCGTTTGGGATTAAAAACCGCTGGATTTGAGGTCAAACTGGTCGGACTACACGCCTCGACCAATGTGCGAATGCCAAACACTCAGAGAACACTAGCAAGGGTATTACAGCTATTCTTCGTTCCATTGCATTCCCTTCAAAAATGGGAAGCGCGACCTTGTCGTGCCTTGCATGCCGCCGCAGCCACCCAAATAGCCTGCTGAAACCTCGTACATAGCATCGCATCAAATCCACTTTGATCCTTAAAATATCCGATCAACTCTGGGAATTCACATCAGACTCCCTCCCAGCCCGGTCTATCCACGAAAGGGTGTCCCAATTTTTAAGCTGTTACCAGCCGTTCACGTAATCATCATGCAAAATTTGCATCACCCCCACATAATACATGGCCCAAGCTGCAGGAAAATTGCCACTTCAACCCTTGTTGTTGATGACCTGATCAGGATCCAGCCAGAAATATCGCGCATAATATAACTTTCTCCATTCCACATTCAGCGGACCTTTTGCATATTGACACGATCTGTAGCATGCGAAGCGCAGAAAGTTATGTAAAACAAAAACATTTGAAATGAGGATAACAGAATGTGTAGAGCACAACAAACATACAATTGTTCCAATAAACCAATCATTGTCATCAACGGAGGCGATTTTGCATTCATTCGAATGAATGCTGCCGACATGCACTCAAAGCAAGCACCGTCATACTGCACGTCACCGTTTCTAGTTGCGTGTTTTTGAAATCCATTGCATCCGCCGTGGCCTGGTTAATTCGGTGAGCAAGACAAGATAAAATGTTGATTTTATGCCAATTTGTCGACGCAATTATATATACGAAGTCAGTGCATGTTTTACCAAAGTGCAAACTCGAATCAGCAACTGCCTCAAGCCTTCGGATGGGCACCCGAGCGAGGAGGGCCTGCTGCTCAATCTGGCAACGTTGGCGTTGAGTAGTTAATGCGAGTCCGTTGTCGCTATGAGCCCCTGAGTTAAAGCCCATGATCATGTAGCCATTTATCACAAACCTGAAGGTAGGCCACCGACCTTGTGTTTCATTTTGCAGGATTCTATCGTGAAAGCTTGATAGAAGTCGATTGGGCATTAGGTTTGGTCGTTTGTAAACGCCCAATTGGGCGTTGGGCTGCAGCTGTGTGTACGCGTATCGGGTATCCGTATGCGTGGGCCGTATCGGGGATGGCCTCCAAACGCTGGCACCCTTGACGCTCAGCGCCTTGCGACTCCGCGGGCCCTGGCGTGGCCCGCCATGTCTGCCGAGGCATGGCCCGAACCCTCCGTCAAGTCGGCGCTTGGCGACACCGCGCACGCGCCTCATGTGCGTCGGCGCCCTCGCAGCTCCCTGCGTTGACGCCTCCCTGTGCGCCGCGCGGGCGCCAGCGCGCATGCCGTGGGGCCGTGAGCGCATGCCGGTTTTGCTGATGGGCGGGATCCCCACGTCCGCAGGAAGGGCCGTCCGGAGAGCTGACGGCGACCGTCCTGGCGGAGTACGCCGCGCAGGTGGCCACCGCCGGCGCCGACGGGTGGGTCCCGACGCATCTGGATTGCGCGCGAAGAATTGAATCTTGATTTGATCTCAGGGGCCGTGGATTCCTCGCTGCGAAACGTGTTCAGTCGTCTGGGGTGTGTGGAGCACTGCCCGGTGCGCTAAGTCTCGGTACTTTGATTGCAGCGATTGTCCTGCCGGTGGTGGATATTTTGTTTCCCCGGGTTTCGTCGCCTTGCTGGCGTGTGCAGGTAGCGCTGCATCGAGTTTGCTTGAATGAGATCGGGTAAATGGTTTGCCGGTCGCCCTTCACAGGTCAGATTTCTCCCAAGGGCTGGGGAGGGTGGAGGAGAGGCTGCAGAACTGCGATAGCAACGCATGTGTGTGCCTCGTGTGCCTTGAGGTCATCCATGGGGAAGACCCTGTGTGGATCTGCAGAGAGGGCTGCCATGACCTGTTCCATCTGCACTGCATACAGGTGCGGGTGTCCCTCGACGTCAAATTCTATGGCCAGAACGTTAGTACCAGATACTGATTGGCTACAAGTGGGATTGTCAGGGCCGGCATAGCCTGTACTGACGTATATCCAGGAGGATCAGATACTGAACAAGAGGAAGCCTGGAAGTAGTCAGTTGTGCACATTGGAAGAGCGCAGAGGGCTGGAGGAGAGGTGCATGCTTCAATGCTGCGTTTGAGGGGCCATGGCCTCCTGGCCTATCTGTTGCTGCAGCAAGCACCCCACAGACCCAACACTACCTGGAGCTTTGACTGTTGGTCTCTGCAGCGTGTGATCTTTGCGGACTTGCATGTGAACGTGGAAATGGGTGTTTGAAGCAAGGGTTGCCATCCTGCCATGGCCCATGACAGAATTTCAACTACTGCAGGCATTCAGCACAGAGCGAATCAACTGAGACATCTGTGTTTGTTCCACACATGCCTATAGGGCTGGGCAAGGCAGCAAAAGCAGGTCGCCGCAGAGTCGGCAACAAGACACCTGAACCCAGAGCGATTTCCTGATGCCCTGTCCACCCGCAAAGAGTCTGCGGAGTGGGGCTGCCCAAAGTGCAGGACGCCAGACAGCTCCACCCACATCCCAACATCATACTACTGCTTCTGTGGCAAGACCCTGGACCCCACATTCGATCCATGGCTGCCAGCACATTCGTGCGGAGAAAAGTGCGGGAGGGAGCTCTTGGGCCGGGGTGGCCATGCATGTGGGCACTCGTGCATGTTGCTCTGCCACCCCGGCCCCTGCCCACCATGCCCCAGACTGGTACATTTGCCTGGGGATCGGTAGTGTCTGGTGTGGATGATGTGCACCACTGATGCAAGGGGCCTGTTTGTGGTGCTACTGTTGAATGAATACCTGGTTCATGGGGACAACTGTGGATGTCACTGATACATACAGGTTGCTGCATTTGGGGGTCTGTGCAGGCTTTGGGTGAGGACCTGAGCATGGGCTGCCCATAGACAGACGTATGCGTTTACTGCAGCTTGACCATGTTCACTGTATTCAGACAAGATGGTGTAAGGCAACATGTGCACGAATGTGCTGCAGGTGGAGGAATCTTGTCACTGCGGAAAGGTCACAAGGCGGCAGAGGTGTGGACAAAAGAGCTTCTCATGTGGGACAGTGTGTGGGAAGGTGAGAAGGGTTTGGAATCTTCCTGTGGATGGGGTGGCCCATGGACTGCCCATGGATTGTGACCAGCACGCAAAGGTAGTTTGCAGACCTAGGCATGCAAGACGTGAGCCTTAATGGTGTGGAAGGTGGCCTTTATCTGCAACATGTGTCCTAGCAAGACAGGTGTGGACACCTTTTCTTTCTGCGCACCTGTGCCAACAATACATTGGGGAAGGGAAATGGATGCTTTCTGGCAGAAGGTGTTCTTCGAGTCCATTGTGGTGTCCAGCCAGATGACCATCCAAATTTTCTTCATTTCGTATGCAAATAAGGAAACAAGCCAATGGCAGCATTTGCCTGGCTGTGTACTGCCCATGTCTGTGTCACTGCTGAAACTGAGCGTGGAAGACTGCGCCAATGCAGGGCATGATTTGTTGAACTGCTTGTTCTTTGCGGCGCAGGGCCTCAGCTGTGGTCACAACTGCCCAGCAGCCTGCCACCCAGACAGTTGCCCTCCCTGCGAGCTTACCGGAGAATTCTCCTGCAAGTGTGGCAAAGAACGGCGAACTGTAAGCTGTTCTGAGCAGGTGTTTGAGTGTGGCGAGGTCTGTGGGAAGCCGTTGGCCTGTGGGAGACACAAGTGCTCAAAGGTGTGCCCTGCACTGGTTATGTCATTGTGCTCTGTGCCAATTAGTGATGCACGGATAGAAAACCAACTGCAACGAAAATCATACCAACTAGTGCATATACACAGCAATAATAAATATAATAAATTTTATCCTTCATCTGTGCCCAACCAAAGGATCAATGGAGCTGCACACAGGCAGTCAGCACCCCTCAACAACATGCAGCCTTCGCCAAGGCATGTTGCTCCCTACCACAGCGGTTGACGTGTGTTAACAGTTGGCAGTGAATGTTGGGCAGCCGGTGAATATGGAGCACATTCTCGCGGCACTTGTTGGTTCAATCACAGGCAAATGCCTGAGTACAGAACAGCGGGAGTCTCTCTCGGAATCAAGAAGAAAGTCAGGGAGCTTCGAATCCACTGCTGAATGATGCTATGGGAGTTGGGGTCTTTCGCACTGTCTGAATCGTGTGTATGTTGCTGATGCGCAGATCTGCCATTATGGTGACTGTGGTGGGTGCCCAATGTCAGGCATCAGGCATTGCCACTGTGGCAAGGTCGAATTCCCTGAACTGACGTGCATGGATGCAGCACCAAGCTGTGGCGACACATGCGGCCGCTGGCTCCCATGCGGCAGGCACAGGTGCACCGACCGGTGCCACCCTGGGGACTGTGCACAGGCATGTCGCCAAAGAGTGACTAAGGCATGCAGGTTTGCTTATGGCAGTCATACAAGACTGGGAATTGTGCGGCTGTTTGGGTGCAGAGGAGAATTCGTTACTGTTGCAAACCGGGCTGACAGTAGATACTCTCCCGAAACTGAAAATTGTGTGTTGCCTGCCATAATATTGAATGTGATGTGAGTATGGCTGCTAAAATAAGGCTGTTGGGCAAAACGGGTGTATCATGTGGATCAGCTATATCCTTTTTGAATCCTTGAGTGATTATTGCTACTGCTGGTGCTGTTTGTGGCCTTGTTATTTCATTGTTGCTGTCATGTACAGTTGTTATTACTTCCTCCGTCCCAGATTATTTGTCGTCTATGACTTTGGGGCACTATTTCTTCATCATGCCTGCACCTATTTTAATAGAATTTTGCCTGCGGTTGTGCTTTTGAGTTAGAAGTACACTATAAAAATTTCAAGTCAATCTATCAAGTATTGAGTATTCGGTAGTACTTTGTATCAAGGGTCATCTTACATAGTAAATCTCAATATTTGGGGTCGAAAATGACCAAAATTTACCTTCCCCTTGCGCTCAAAAGGGTCATGTCTCACTTTTCCTTCTTGAAAATTGATAGTCAAGGGTTTTGAGAAGCAATCTTTTCGATTTTGACTTTGTTTTGAAATTTTGAGGCTGTCCTTATAACAAATTTAGCCTTTCAAATAGACGACAATTAATCTGGGACGGAGGAAGTATTAAACAATGAGTTCAGGGAGCTGCAGTTGGCCAACAGCGAAGATGGGCTGTTTCTCATTATTGAACACTGGTACAGTGTATCGGTGTGTCTAATAATTTGACAATACACTTGACCAGGGCCTGAATCAATAGAAATTGCCAATTCTGTCAACCCTCAGTGTCAAACGTCACCACATCAGCAGCACTGCATCCGCTGGCACAACCACCAGGCAGAGACAATGTCCATCGCTGAGGAAATTTGCATGGCTGTGGCGGAATGGCACCAGTGTCACACAATAAATGTGCTACACAAAACTCCACAACTCTGAAATGTTTAGACATTTTCGGTTATGAGAAATGAAAAGCGAAAAGGCATATAGGCCAGTGAATAATGCGAGTGAACACAGGCCATGCTCATAGTTGCTATTTCATTCTTGATGGCAGACTCTGCTATCGTTTGTCATTTCCCACAGTGTAGAAGAGAGTCTCATTTCACAATTGCTAGGGGAACCCATCGTATGACATGTTTCCTTGTTGATGGGGAGGACCGTTGTGGATGGATTCTAGGGCCATTGCAGAATCCCATAGCATGGAATGTAAGGCACTCTCAGTATCCGCATCTGCTGAATTGCGACCTTTTAATAGCTGAAGTGCAGTGCCAGACCGGGTGGCAGTTGGTGTCCTCCTGTGGGCATTGTATGCTATATACTGCATGGTTGATTTCGATTGTGCACAAGATTGGGAGCAAGATTTCGACCAGATAGAATGATTCGATGTGGAGAAGTCTAGCCCGTGTCCTGTGTTGGGGGCGAATTGACCCATTTTCTATTTAGAAGAAATGCATAAAGATGTTGTTGCGATGCTGCAATCGCACTGTTGTTTCCACAAACGTTTGTCTCACAAACGGCCTAAATTGTGACTTCCCATGTATTCGGCAAGTGTAATATTTATGAGAATCTGCTCCTTGCAATGGTGCCGGAGCTGTTTCAGAAAGCCTGGGAAACCATGCGATCGCTGGGTGAGAATTGCGCTTGCTCTCCTGATTCATCCTTTCCTTCTGGATATTGTTCATGTCTTTGTCCTTGGATGCTGTTCATAACTATCTGAGTGCACCTGAGTTAGTGAGATGACACTCACACCACACCCTGAGCTCTCTAATTTTACGACCACAGGTGTGGGAGGAGTCAAAAGGAAGTTACATGCCACGAGACATACACCTGCTCACACAAGTGCACGAACCTCCGTGACTGTGGCAATCATCAGTGCAAGAAGCGTTGCTGTGATGGAAATTGTCCCCCTTGCCAGGAGACCTGCGACCGCAAGTTGAGATGTGGAAATCACAGGTGCAGAATCACGTCCAAGTAGGCCGAACTGAACTGATTGAGGTATCTTGCATTCTGCAAGGAAAGAAGTTGAACCCATGCACCTCAAATTTGGCTCAACAATGTGAATCGGACACAATAATGCAGTGCATGGGCATATCTTGCCCCAATGTTTTTGTTAGCCAACAATGAAGCACCCAACATCAAAGTGAAGTCAACGCAAAGCTCAACTGAATGCTTGATAAAGTCAAGCTTGTTCTGAGGCTCTTCAGCGCTCTTTTGACAAGACCCTATTTGGGAATGAACAGTGCCTCGCATACCTGGCTTTGATTATGTTAATTCAAATTGCCTTGAAGCGAGAAAATGAAGTGAAACCTCTGTACTTGCTGGGATCCTCCCAATGGGAGCACACCTATCAGCTGTCCAGAGCTCTTGACAGGGCGTCCCATGTATGCTGCCATTTTCTACAAGCAAAAGAACTATGTCGTTGTGCCAAATTTGTCAAATGATGTGGTCCATTATTCTATTCTGGTTTCTTGCTTGCCAGGTGTCAGGCCACCTGCCACAGGGGCTCCTGCCTTCCTTGTCCGCTTACAGTGCTGGTCAGCTGTGCCTGTGGAAGGACGAATTACACCCTTCCCTGTGGGTCTGAAAAATATGCACGACCCCCACGCTGCCGGCAGGCCTGCCTCGTCCCTGTGACTTGCAGGCACGCTGACACCTCCATCCCTCATGGATGTCACTTCGGTCCGTGCCCACCCTGCAAGCAGCCGTGTGGCTCAAGGTACCCTGTTCTTCGCCTCTGCCTTATCTGGATTGCATCTGGAGTGCGAATTCGAAAACTCGCCAGAGGGTGGTTGCACAGCACAATGCTCCTTCATCATCCTCACAGCATATAGTGTGAGTGCTGTGAATGCTCACTGGCATCCATTCTGCTGTCTTGTGAAAATCAATTGTGCAGAGCAATGTTGACATTGAGTCCTTTTGTATGCCTTTGTTACCTGTTCTGCACGGCTGTGGGAAATCTGAGTCTGGGTGTGTGGTGGTGTCACAGTCTGCCCTGTGGACACACCTGTGGAGCTGAAGTCTGCCACGATGCCACACCTGTGCCAGTGGACGACTTCACACCCCCTGCCCCAAGGCGGGGTCAGTCAAAGTCCGCCAAGGGGAAGGGAGCATTGACAGGTCCCCCTGCCCAGAGAGCGGCAGAGGAGACGTCACTCATGATGGCTGGTTGCAGTTCTTCCGATGCCCAGCAGTGCCCTCCCTGCTGCCAACCTGTGACTGTGAGTTGCCTGGGGGGTCACACAGAGCAGACAGTGCAGTGCCATGCAGCCCAGGACTTCTCGTGCGGGCAGCCCTGCGGCCGGGTGTTGCAGTGTGGCAAGCACCACTGCCAGAAGGAGTGCCACAGGTGCGACTGCTGTTGTGACTTTGATTTGTTTGGCGGCAGAGCAACTTGCATTTCTTGTTGCTAAATGCATCGTCAGACCCCATTTGCAAGATTGCAGCTGCTGTGCCAAAGGGGCAACAACACAAATTCCTCAGAAAAAGTTGGTGCAGTGTGTGGTGATGTACATCTTGTATGAATGGAGATGATATTGAACTGCCACTAGTCACGGTGCCACATCCTGTGTGAATGGAGAAGATACTGAAATGCTGTTAGTCACAGCACCATGTCACACGTGCAATTCTACATCAGATAATGCAGAGTGTTAGGTGGACAACACTGTTGATTGGACTAGTTGTGCAAGGACTAGTGTTTCTGTGTTGTGGGGCCTGGCATATTAGAATGTTGAGGTCTCAAAGGTTCCCAACAGATGCCCAGCTATACCAGAGTCGTTTCCATGGAAATGGAGCAGGTATCAGCTGGCAGTCACTGGACAGACTGTGAAGCAGCTATGCCGTGACTTCATCACGTATTCATTCTGTTCATTCAGTGTGTCCCTTCAAATGTTATTTTATCGCAATTCATATGGGCAGCTTGCTGCAATTTTGATATTAGACCAGCCTAATTCAATCAACCACAAGGAAGAGCATCAGAGACAATTTGTGCGCACTCTGTCAAATTCTCATCATTCCTTTGTGCGCGATTTTGCAGAGCTGGGCCTGAGACATGCAGTAGTTGCAGCCTGGCGTGCGACGGGGTGTGTCATAGCGGCCACGCCTGCCCCCTGCCATGCCATGCGGGAGACTGCCCGCCGTGTGAGGAACCATTACGGCTGGCTTGCCATTGCGGCAAGACGACTGTGGAGCTGCCTTGCCACGAGCATCTCTTGGCGACTGAAGCGGGGACCCTTGGGCAAAGGCTGTGCTGTGAAAAGCCGTGCCACAAGCAGTTACCACTTTGCGGCCATCCCTGCAGGTCCTCTTGTCATGAGGGCAACTGCCAGGGGACCGCCACTTGCAGGTTCGTCCCCCATCTTTCTGACTGTCTGTGTGGACCACACGTGCGCATTTTGGAAGGCTTCAGTTGCGCATGTTGCAGCATTCTTGTTGAAACTGCTGCCTAATTCTTGTAGTTTGGGTTCGGTACGCTAGCTGCTGAAGAGACTGCAGTTTCAGCAAGAAGACTGCAGCGAGGAAGGGATGCCGCTGTGGAACACGCAACGTTGTGCAGAATCGGTCGTTGGAGTCTTGCGGGTCGACGGGCAGAGGTTCATCAACATTGGACAGCTGTCAGTGCATGTATAAGAGATTCTTTGGGTGTACTTGTAGGCGTAAACAGGATGTTTTTCCTGCGCAGGGAAGTGGTGACGGTTTTTTGCCGCTGCAAGAGCAAGAGGGAGTCGTGGACCTGCGGGGGGGTGCAGGAGGCGCTTGTGGCCCGGGGCCTGCATCCGGGGTACAGCGAGGCGTCGAAGCCCAGGCTGCTGGATTGTGACGACAGCTGCCTGCAGAAGCGAAGGAAGGATAGGCACGAGGGCCGCGGCAACGAGGGCAGGGAGGGAGGTGCAGAAGGGGCGGAGTTTCCGATGGAGGGGCTGTCACAGAGGGCGCTGCCTAGGGAGGGTCGGGATGCTGCAGGCAGGTCACAGACAAGAAAGCTGACGAGAGAAGAACGCAGGATTGCGGCAGAGAAGCGCGAAGCGGAGAAGAAGAGGCGCGCGATGTACTCGAGGATCTGGCGACGGTTTCTCAAGTCGCTGCCGGTCGTCTTGGGACTGATTCTGGGATTCATCTTGTTTAGGTTACTGGCTGGCAGCAGCTGAGAATTGGGGTTGTGAAAACAGTGGATTGAGCGCAATGGGTGTGAAGGGGTAGGGGGGCTGAGTGGCTGCGTGCGTTGCAGGAGGGATGTCATCAGAGGTTGGATTTTGCCAGCCGGTTCAGTCAGGCGGGCGTTGAGTGTCAATATTTGGGTTACAGGAGGATCCTGCCCTTACATAGCTGTGCAGGTAGAATTTGCGGCTGGAGCGATGTAGAACCCCTAAGAGCTGGCCTTCGCATCGGGATATCTTGCCAACTTCTGATGTTGCAATGACCATACACATGAGCACGCAGCGACGCTTCTGCAATACCAATGTGGCGGCATTCGGGCAGGAATGGCATGAACATCTGCACTTGCCAGAACTGACGCGTTTGTACGCCGGTGTGTCGATGGCGCGTTTGCTGCAAGGGTTGTCATGGTAGCACAAAAAATCATTTCATGCCTGGGTCCCGATACCTGAAACAGACAGCAGGAACGCATCGAGTGGCAGCAAAACCTCGTCTCACAATCCAACGGCACTCAATCTCCTGGCCGCGATCTGCCACTTGCTGTCGACGAGGTCCCTGTGAGACAGAATCCGGGCAAACACAAGAGCGTCGCCGCGGCTCCTCAATTTTCCGAGGGTTGCTTTCAATCGCCGGAGGTCCTCCTCCCGTGGGGCTGCATCCCTGCGACGTAGTTCCCTGCGGGACGACCACCCCGCCACCACCCTCTTGAGAGGGCCATCTCCATCAACCGGATGATGCAGGTTTGAGCAACGCAGCCCTTTGGACGACCCGCATCTGTCGAGTAGCGGCTCGGCTGTTGGGCCTGTGGCAGCAGCCTTTAAGAGCACATCGGTGCCCTTGCAGTTTGCGAATGGGTCCTGAGGAGGCAGAGCGTCTGGCCGCAGGTAGGGGTGCCAGTGGACTGTCGCTGGCGGCCCGTCCAAATTTTCTCCGACGGTTCGCCCGGAGGCCCAAGGCCAATGGAACTGAGGGCCGTGTGGGGCGTCACTCACGGTGCTCAAGTCGCATTCCTGGCAGCCAAACACACAAAGACACCATTAAACAAAGTTCTCCGCGATGCACGATTGACAAAGTTCTAAACTGGGGCAGAATTTTAGTTAAGCAGAAACTATTTGCCAATTGTAATTGCCCCCTTGTCAATACGGAAAAATGAAGTACTGGGTGATTTCTGTTACATATTTGTTATTTGAATTCTTCACACTATTCCCAGAATTCAGTTGTTAAAGTTAGCTTTAGTTGCACCCCTCAAAGGAACGTGGTGCACTGTGCAGGGTGTCGCTGCGGTGATTGAAAATGTGCTCAACGTGCCTTCAAGGATATGTGTGTTCACATTGGCTTCATCTGCACTTTTCCATATGACAGTTCCACGCACCGTTGCAGCACAACAGCAACTGTGGTGTGACAATTCAGCGCGCCTTTGCAGCCTTTGGGCTGGGCCGGTTGACATCTAGCGCATTGGCATTTTTGTGTTATTTGTAAGTCTTTTTGCGGATGCCTGGATTGCTTTGATTCACGGTTCCGCCAGCGCTCACTCAAGGCATCGGCGTCGGACAACGTCATACTTTGCACTGCACGTGCCCCTGCAGATTCCACGACGTGCACCAGCGGTCACCCGGCGCCCCTTTATGGCGTCGCTCCGAGCTTGGCGAAATTTTCGCATAAATGGCCGCTGCATCGCGTGCACCTCCGAGGTGTTGTCATTGGGAAATGGAGGGCTCTGAAATTGGATAGCATTGATGTACCACAAACGGACCTGATCATTTCTTCGCGTGTCAACGTCTTTCCTTTCTCCAACCGACCAATCCACGATAATTCTGCGTCGCCCCACATTGGCGCGTCTGCGCTGTTTCCTCGCCTCATCCGGTGCACCCTCCGATTGTTTGTCTGTCCAAGACCTGCTCCTGCCCTGTTGAAATGGAAGGGGTGTGACCGTCATTGAGCTTCTGGTTTTGGCGCCCTGTGAATTCCCTATAGCTATTTGCTCTATACTTGCATATGCTTGCATCATACTTGTATGTATCATACTTTTATGTTCCACTGAAAATCAGTTGCAAGCGCACAAAGTTCATACCAACGTATCAGGCCTCGCTTTTTTATCAAATCGAACATCAGCAAAATATTATGCGATACGCTGAGATAATATACAGATGCACATCATGTGCCATTTGTAAAACTGCTGCAGGTGTGCGTAGTTCTATAACGTCCATTTGCCGGGTTATGTGTTCTGCATCTAGTGTTTTGTCGATTTTGGCGCATTGTCCAGCCAATAGAATGTGGCGCGATTCCCCAGCGAAGACTCCAATCACATGCTCGTGTCTCAATGGCTAAAAAGTTTCTATTTTGAATATGTCATATTGAGGGCATGCGTTGGCGGCGAAGTATCCTGCATATGCATCAACAGAGGAAAACTACCCCGGCATGTTATGCGATGAGCATCCACGCACCGAGTTCCGTGGGAAATAAGTACGAAACCAATCAAGAAGATTGATGCTCCAGCGGCAAAATTATCTGCAGACATCCAATTTCAAAAATCTCATGAAGTAACTGTACTTCCAATTGCCTTCAACACGACGTCGGCAAAATCTACGCATCTGCCTACATAGGCGCCTGCGCTCATCAAGATGTCTCAAAGCAAACGGGCGAAACGGCAGCCGTCGGCTTCCTATTCTGCCCGAGTCCGTGGTTCGTTGATTGAAATCCAATGTGAAACATGAGCAAACTCTAGGATGCACCCAGCCGTACTTTGCGAGAAGTGTTTGTCGACGGCAATACATTGAAAGAGCCGTTTTCGCTGATTGCCAACAGCCATGCATCGCTAAAGATCGCACGTTCGCGGCGTTCCCCAGTGACCTTCGGAATGCCCTTTCGTCCCTCAGAGTCTGGACCATTTGCTCCGCTCTGTGATGAAGAAGGCGGGTCTCCAGTCCGCGGGAGGGGGCCCAATCGCCGGCCTCTCTCCTGCGCTCGTGGTCATAGCCTATTTTTACCAGGTCGCCAGACACTGGGGAGCTGGTGCAAGGCGCGCTGACCACGCGAGCTTGGATGCGCCCGTGGTGGTGTCTGCTGCCCGACTTATCCACCATATGTGCAGAAATCGTTGCGTTGGTGCCTCTGGCATAAGGGAACGGCAGCGAGGACGTGCGTTCTGCTTGGCCGCATTATCCACCAGTCGCGAAAAACAAGCGTCGGCGAGGTTTGGAAGCCCCCATGTCAACCAACCAAGCAACATCACATGTCAAGGCAACGAGGGGGCTCCGATCTTCCAGTTACACCCAAGAAAAGCAGTAATTAACCAAAATTTTGAAGAAGAACACAAGCTATTGTGGCAGTAGTTTCCAGAATCCACAAGATCATGATTTCGGAGAAATCTGTCGTTATGGATTATTCATTGAAAGGGACCGTTCCTAGAGAAGGCTGGCGGGGAGAGCACCGACTAGAGATTGGCTATTTGTGTGGAGAAAGCGCGTGCTCGTGTGTCTTTGGCATGAACCATCCCAAGCATGGCTGTCAGTGGAAAATGGAGCGCACGCGAAACTTTCGTGACGAAAGACCAGAGTAGCGGGGAGGACACAAGCGCCCCGGTAGTTCCGAAATGGACTGAAGCGGCTTACGAAATTGGCTGCACTCACAGCTTGTTTAGCGCGGTCGACATTGCTCGACGTCAAGAATTTCTGGAGGCTCACTTGGAGAGTGAACCTGCAGCGAAATCGCATGAAGCACATCTTTAAGAAATTTGCACGTCCGCCACGACGACAGGCGTGAAGTGAAGCGCACGCAAAAGTGTAACAACTGTCCGCAAATAAAACGTCCGGTAAAATGTATAAATGGAAGGCCACTGGAAGCTGTCAGCCACAGCTCGTCGCGCACACAGGAATAAGGAGTGCAGAAGGAAGAGGGGAGGGGCGCCCTCCTCATCCAGTACTTTGGGCGATTTCCCAGGACTTGCGCGGGTAGAAACCCCTCGCCCCGACCCGCATGTCGCCGTCACAGTCGCGCCTCTCCTGCGCCTCCGGTCACATGGCGCTGGGCCACCTGTCGAGGAGTCTCGGCGGCCTGTTGAGCGGCTACAGCCGCCCCGCTGCCGTCCAGCTGCCAAGGGTGGGGGCGAGCGCCTGGCAACGCCTGCGCTCCTACCCTTTCAGGTCCGTTCCACGCCATTCCCCACCATGCCAGTTTGCGTTTCCCCCATCCCCATTCCGTCTTCCCCAACCTCACACCCCGATCACCGACTGTCCGCAGCGCGTCTGGCGACCCCGCATCCCAAGTCGATGTCGGCGCAACTCCAGACGCCTCCCGCGAACTTGATTCAGCCGCGGTAGCGGTGGACCAGGTCGTTGCCCAGTCTCCCAGCGAGCCCTCCGCCGATCCGTCCACAGAAACAACGACAGAGACGACATCAACGGGCACCGTTATCGACCTGAAGGCCGCGCATTCGGTCCCAGCGGGATCTTCCAGCGGCCCGAGCGCCACGGGAAGATCAAATGAAACCACGGGGGGTGAGGGGCGTGAGAGGATGATGATCCCAAGGGATGACAGCGATCCGGGAGCGGCCTTCGTGACGGTGCAAAAGGATGGCACGCTGCGGAGGGCGACAGGCAGGATCCACGCTGCGCTGGCGGAGGGCAAGCGCGTGGTGCTGTACGCGACGGGCGGGCCGTCGGTGAGCAACGCCGTGAAGGCGGTGCTGCTGGCAAGGCGGAAGGAGGGGGAGGGGGGCGCAGGCAGCGACCTGGGGTTCAAGGTCGTGCACCAGCCCGGGGTGAAGGAGGACAGGGTCACGAAGTTCATGTTCGCGCTTCACAAGGTGAGCACCCGCGGTGCGGGGGCCCCTGCCGCCAGTTGGTTGTGATTGTGTCCGTGGCTGGTGCGGAGACCGAGCGTCGCATTTTCGCCTGAATGGGAGGGCTTGGGCTGACCCCGTCGATGGGCTGTGCGGTGTGTCATGGGTGGCTCCTGTGCTTCAAGGGACGGGCAAAATGCGCGCAGCAGATTTGATTTGGGGCAACATTGGTAATCAAAAGCCGTTGCCTGGAACAAGGCAAGTGTCAAAGCTGCCCAGGCATCTATTGTCCGGACTGCCTTGCGATAGCGTGGAGGGAAGAAAATTGTGGGAAGGGTGTGCGAGGATGGATGGAAAATAGTCTGTCATCCGAGTCAGCTCCATCCCTGGTGTTCTTGAAGGTATCCTCAAGGGCGAATGACTTCGTACGTGCAGATGTGAATGATGCGCGCAGATGCGTTGAAGATTTGTTAAGGGTGCCCTGTTATGAGCAAGAATGTTATGAGGCTCTTGCCCTGGGCATGAAATGATAATGCAAAACTCTCCAAAGCAGTGACACATAGCAGCGTGCAAGGCAAAGAACTGCACTCAAAGTGGCATCATGAGTTGACGTACAACATGTGAATGCTTCGGCTCATGTGTGTTGGCTGTTTCCCAGCACAAATGACGGTGTGCCCATGCTGGAACAGACAGCAAGGCAACCTAAGGCTCAGGCTCCTGTGATCTGTCTGAAATCTGCTATGACTCCATTGTTTACAATATGGCAGAACAGTGTCCGTGCACCTGCTGGGCGATGTTATGTGCTGCTAACATCCACATTCGATCCAGTGTGTGTGCACATGATCCAAATCACCAGCTTGTGCCCAATTCCCATATTTGTTTGTTGCATCCGGTGCTCACATCACATTCCAATCCTGACCTGACCAGTTCGTGGTCACCCTAAAATTTCGCTGCACCTGGTAAGGAGTTGGGTGCCAGTTTCCAATGAAAAGCAGCCTGCTGACCCTGCTTCAGCGAGTGATAAACAATAAAAAGAGTGGAAAAGTGAGACCAGCCAGTCGAATGCTGGGTTCTGGTGTTTATATCTCAGGTGATCCATGATTGCGCCTGGTGCAATGCTGAATGTACTAGTTCTGAACCAAGGCTTTGTGTTCATTGATCCTGTTTTTCTTGCAATTTCCCTGACATTGGGTTTCCTGGACATGTGCTCTGATCTCCCAAAGTACGCATCACGCAACCCAGGTTGATTCAGGGAAGTCAAACAAATGCTGTGTCCGATTCTATCTTGCAACAACTGAGGGTGGGGAGACTCCTCTTCTGAGAGTGCTGTACACTTGGCTTCTTGTCATAATCAACACTGACAAGTCCAACAACAATTTTGGAGCAGAGGCGATCCCCCATGAATGCTGATATCCACAGACGTTGAAATTGTTGTAAGCAGTTGGAATCTGAACTGGGTGCGGAAATTCTGTCAGACTGCTCCTCAAACAACTAACGTTTCACTTCATGGTCCCCAGGTGGACTACAGGGTAGAGCCGGACACTCCCCCAGATCAGATCTTCAGGGCAGATGTCCATGCGAATTGCAGGGTCTACGGCTCGCTGATAGCATCAAACCTGGAGCTTGGTAGGCCCTGTGCAATCCAGGCGATGGGCCCAGGGCCAGTGGCAGCTGTGGTGGTCGCGCACACGTGGGCCAGGAAGATTCTGAAAGGCAGCGGGCACGACTGCCTGTGCTTTCCAGAGTTTAAACGCCGGAGCATTTCCAATGAAGTGGAGAAGACTGAGGTCCGCATGACTTTTGTCAAGGTCCCTTACGATCTGGAGCAGGATTTCAAACCCCAATGGAATCCCATAGAGACTGCTGCCAACAGATCGGCGCCACTGGCCGATACATCGTCAGAAACATCGCTCAGTGAATCGCTGGACACACCTGTGGAGCCAATGGCGCAGCATGCATAATTTGCGTGAACTTCTTGCCTGAAAAGTTCTGCAACGTCAGTATTTATTTTGGAATTTGAGGGTGGAAATCGCTGTTCCCATGACTGGACTCTGTATGGACATTGCTTGCACGACTGAGGGTTGCAACTGAGCCAGCTGCAGGCGTGCTCTGGCTGGAGGGAGCGATGAGAGAGACGTGGATGCCAGCCAATGAGCGGCATGCTGTTTCTAAGGAGGGTCACAGGGCACAGGAAACTCTTGGTGTTGTTGTGCTTGCTGCTATGTGCATTTACACACTGCAGCATGCTTGGGGCGGGAGACTGACACAGAAGGAGTCTGGAGAGTGCCACACGTCTTGGGACTGTGGATGAGATAGTGAACGTTCAAGTTTTGCAGGTTTGAGCCCTGCGCCAGGTTTTGAATAGTAGGTTTAGGGAAAGAATACCATTGGAAGGGAATCTGTTGCGGTGCCCCACTGTGCAGTGCACCTGATTGGACAGGTGTGATATTGAAAGAACACAGACCACCATGCACTGTACCTTGTTTTCCGTGCTGCACCATGTACTTTCAGGCAACCACAAAACTCTTGAGTTTAAAGTCAAGATCGGAAATTCCGATCTTCTAACTGCAGATGTGCCTTGCAGGGAAACCAGAATGTCCATCTCTGGCGGCGGTAGTTGACATCCCATGCTATTTTGAGGACCAGATCCAATTATGCCAATCATTCAAAATGGACGCAATAGGCTGGTGAAATCCAGAGTGGCGTAAGCATCATTAAGTCCTATGTCTTGGATGTCAAATAGGATGCACCAAGTCCCGGATAAACCCAGGAATCCTGGATTCATCCTGGACCAGGATAAGGGCACCATATCCTGGATAAGTCCAAGATATGGGGGGCCCATATATGGGAACGCTCCATATCCAGGATACGGCGCCTCTTACCCTGGATATTGTAACACGCTATGTCCATATCCAGGATATGCCGCTTCTTTCCCGATGTGGTCACTGTTGCCGTTGCTCTCCCAGCTCTGGAATCATTGCCCACTGTGAAATCGTGGAAGTATATCTTCAACGAACATGCTGGCTACGTCGATGGACACGACGTTTTGTGGAACGAAGGCTCGTTCCGTCAGTAGCAACGTTGGATCTCCAGCAACAAGCCTTAACTCCCCTGTGAACTTGGCTTTGTGTGTCAACCTCCTGAATTATTTTCCAAAGCCTTCTGCTCTAGCTGCTCTCGCACTGCATTATGTCCCAAATTAGCGGAAGAAAGCAACGATGTTCCATCCTATCAGGGCCTCGGGGAAGCATTTGCTGCAAGTCCTTGTCCGTTTGGGGCCCGCCACCGCAAGCACGTGCAGCAGATTGTTGGAGTTCTGGTACAAGACGGATCAGTGCGATCAAAGGGAATAGGTGAGAACTTTGTCATATCATCAGAGGGACTGGGAGTAGCAGGCGAGAGGTGTAGGGCATCTCCTGAACATGAACCATGCATTTACATGCGTTTGCAAAAGTGTGTTGTATATTCAGGAGAACGAGCCAAAACCTGGGGGGTGAGGCTATACACAAGGCCCGTTGATCGTCTGGGCCAATGCAACGGAGCGGCGGTGACAGGGACTCCGGTATCTTGGAAGGACTCTTCTTGCTTCTTCTTCGAAAAGACACCTCCTTTAATGTATCGTCAACGACAAGCTCTCTTACGAAATTAAAAATTGGCATGTTCTGGATTTCGTTTCTGTGAGACGCCCAATTCAATGAGAATACTTGGACATTGATTTCTCGCGCAAAATAAGGAGCCACCGTCAAGTGCCTGGCATTGATGTGCAAATTTCTCAAGCATAAGAATATCTTGGAAGGCAGACGGGCCATCTCCCAGAATCCATGATTCGGGGGGAAGCTGGCGGCTGCCTCATTGCCTTGTTGCGTAAAAATGAACGGTGGTGATGATGGCGACTCGTAGCGACCCCGCACACGGCCGTCACCAAATGCCGATGTGGCAACTTTGCTGCATGTAAACATGGCCGCCTCCCATAACTTTGCTTCCAGATTCCGTCTGATTCCTTCTAAAGACCCGTCAAACTTCCCCGGCGTCGTTCCCACACCCGCGCCATCCGCATTTCAACGACGCAAGGCGGACCCGCGCGGCGGTCGCGCACAAAATACATTACCCCGACGGGCCGCGCCGCGCGCCCCCCGCGCTCAATCTCCAAAACGTGCTGCTCCTCACGGTGGCCGTGGGGCTCGTTCCCGATCGACGAACGGGCCTCTGTAGGCGGCTGCCCGTCTTCTCTGACTTCTCCTGGACGCGGAGCCAGCTCTGCGCCCTCAAGGGAGCGCCCTTCTGAGGGGAAGGCGCCGGACACAGCGCCAGAGAGGAGCCCCAACAATGCAGCCAGCCACGCGGCAGCCCAACAGCGCGGGCCTCCTGCCACCGAGGAAGCCAAGGACGGAGCCCAGAGCCTCGAACCGCCGACGAGATGCCCGTCTCTCCCCCTTTCCGACGGCCCCCGGCTACGGGACGCCTTGCACGTCGTCGCTTCGCGTCGAGGGTGTACTCGATATGTGTGGCGGGAGACGTGCGCGGCGGCGGGGTCCGGACGTCAAGACGTCGGCGGCGCCGCCAGAACTGTTCCAGGGGTCGGAGGACATCGCGGCGGGCGCGGCGCACCACGGGCAGTGGGGCATAGTGGAGATGCAGGCGGCGCTGCACGCGCTGGCCCAAGCGGCGCAAGGGATTGGCCACGGCGCGGGGGGGGCGGAGGTGCCGGACGTGCTGGCGGCGCCCGTCAAGGAGCTGTGGCTGTGGCTGGGGAGCGCGTCCCCGCACGGCGCGGCTCAGATCCCGCCCCTCAACACCGGGCTCCCTGATCTGGGCGCTGGGGTCGACCTGGATTGGGACTTCATGCTCAACCAGGAGGTGGACTACAGACCCCTGGCGGGGGTCGTCAGGGGGGCCCCCGGGGACGACGTCCTGCCCGCCGTGGCGGACGAGGTGGCGTCTCGCCTGGCCCTCTCCCGAGACATGGACCCCGCGTCGTTCAGGACGCTGTTCGCGGGGTCGACGTCGCTGCTGAACGCCATGGCGGCGGCGCTGTCCCGCCTGCAGCCCGCCGACCTGTCTCAGGTGGCCTCCGCCTTTCGCGGCCTCATCTCCAACGACGGCTGGGGCGGCCCGCCGCAGGCGCTGGGCCCCAGCCACAGGCAGCTCGTCCTCATATTGGGCGCTGCCACGGCCGTAATCGCGGCTTGTCTTCCGGTTGGACAGAGCGGTGCGCGCAGCGGGAGCGAGGTGGGGGAGGACGTCGAGCGGCTGGTGGCAAAGTACGACTCCAGTCGACTCTTCGACTTCTGGACCGCCAGGGGCGCCAGGGTGCTGCGCAGGCAGGCCGCCGTGGGCTCCAAGGCCATGGGCTTCCTGGCGGCCCTGCTGCTGGAGTGGCGCGCGGGCACCCTGGACGCCAACCTGGGCCCCTTGGCGCGGCGGTGCAGGGCGATGATCGAGGACCTGGGGCCGGCATTCGTGAAGGTCATGCAGGCGCTGTCCACGCGAGGTGATGTCTTCCCCCCGGAGTTCCTCCAGGAGTTCGTCAAGCTCCAGGATCAGGTGCCCGCCTTCGACGATTCCGAGGCCCTGAGCGCGCTGGACCGCGAGCTGGGCCGGCCGCACGGCACGGTCTTCGAGTGGCTCTCCGACGGCCCCATGGCGTCCGCCTCCCTGGGGCAGGTCTACCACGGCCTGCTGCGGAAGGAGCACGGCGGAGGCGAGGTGGCCGTCAAGGTGCAGCGGCCCGACATCATTGAGGGCATATCCCTGGACGTCTTCCTGCTCCGCCGCCTGGCCACCGCGTTGGGCATGTTCCCCATGCTGCACGATAACTGGTCCGCCACGTTCGACGAGTGGGCCAGCCGGTTCTTCGATGAGCTGGACTACACGAAGGAGGCGCGCAGCGCGACGGAATTCAGGCGCCAGATGGAGAAGCTGCCGGGCGTCACGGTGCCGCGTGTGTACGCCGAGCTGACGACCCGGCGGGTGATGACGTCGGAGTGGGTGGCCGGAGAGAAGCTGTCGTCGGCCAGTGTCGTGGACTCCCGGGCCACCTGCCGGACCATCCTCAACTGCTACCTCATCCAGCTGCTGGAGACCGGCTTCCTGCACGCCGACCCGCACCCCGGCAACATCCTGTGCACACCGGACGGCAGGATCTGCATCCTGGACTTCGGCCTCATGACGCAGGTGTCCAAGGCGCAGCGCGTCGCGCTGATACAGTTCATCGCGCACCTGTGGTGCGAGGACTGGGAGGCTGTGGCGGCCGACCTGCAGGAGCTGGGCTTCATACCGGCGGGGGTCCAGATTGAGGACCACGCGGACCTCCAGGAGATCCTGCAGCGCATTTTTGGCGACATGGTGAACGGCGGCGGCCTAAGGGTGGGGAAGATAAGGTCGGAGCTTTCCAGGGCTGCCAGCGACCACAACCTGGTCATCCCGCCCTATTTTGCGCTCATCCTGCGCGTGTTCTGCATCATTGAGGGCGTGTCGTTGAGCATGGATGACAGGTTTGCCATCGTCGGGGAGTGCCTGCCCTATTTGGCAAGGAGGCTGCTTGTGGACAACGACCCAAAGGTGCAGGAGACGTTGAAGATGTTGCTGTACGGAAGGGAAGGGAAGCTGGACGTTGAGAGACTTCGCAAGCTTGTGTCCGCGTTGGCGACATTCACTACAGGTGGCGAAACCGCTGGCACCCCCTGTCACGTGTGCGTTGTGGGCGGCATTTTGCTTCAATGAGTACCCTGTTCGTGCCGCTGCGGGAAACATAACAGCATGCAAATACACGATTCCCAACTTTGCCAGTTGAACCGAAGTATTGCTGGGAGCCAGCAGCCGTGGCCAATCCAGCTCCTAAGACTATCCTTGCGGCATTCATCACTTTGCTCAAGGCAGTTCCCACAATGACCAAAAACAATCATTGTGATATCAGTTCCGTGCTTTCCCGAAGTGCTCACTGCCTCGACGAATCCCTGCCAGCGACTCTCGGCAGAGCCTCACAGCCCTTGCCTCCCGCAGACGCCTCGCGGCCGGAGGATCCGGACCTCCTGCATCCGCAGCACATGTTCCTGTCCCTGGAGGAGCGCGTCAAGGGCCAGGAACTGCGGTTCGATTCTTTCGATGACGCCCTCCGGCCCCAGCCGGGTCCTGTGCTCAACGAGGCGGTCAAGGAAGCCCTCCGAGCGGTGTTCTCCCAGGAGGGCTCCTACGCCCAGCAGCTGCTCGTCGACGAAATGGTCACCTCTGTGGAAACCATGTCCCTGGCGGCCCTCCTGGAGCTCTTCCAGATGGTCCTGGGAAGCGTGTCCACCTTCGTGACAATGTCGCCGCGCACCGGCAGGGCCGCCGTCCTGGCGCCCGCCCTGGCGCCCATCATGGCGACCATGCACAGCGTCCCCTCCATGATCAGCGGCCCGGTGGGCGAGCTCACCGACGAGGACAGGCACATCCTGAACAACGCCAGGGCCATACTGGGGATGGTGGCGCCCAGGGTGGGGCTGGGCGCCAAGCCCCTGAGCGTGCTGACGGCCGCCAGGGACGTGCTGCCCCTGGCCTCGGAGCTGCTGCCGGGCCTGGTGTCGACGATGGCGATGTGCGTGCAGGAGTTCGCGCGGAGGAGGGCGCTCAAGCTGGCGGAGGACCTGGACCCCAAGGCCCGGGTGTCACAGGGGGGAGACGCCTTCTCCTCCGTGTAGATGGTGGGAGACGTCGGCATGGCAACACTTGGCGCAGCGGCGCTACGACACATGTGTCTGCATGGGCTTCGCCGATGTCGAACATGCCGACGAGCTCTCCAGCAGTCGGACCGAGGCCGCTCCATGGGCCCAACGCACTCGTGGGAATAGGAGGCGAGAGAAGTGCATCCCAGGAGTGCGTATTCTTGTGGCACACGCGATGGGCTGGGTGGCCTCGCTGACAATTGCGCTCAGTGCCCTCAGCAATTGTACGTAGCGACGCTGGCACTGTGACAACATGGGGCCGCACCATTGTGGAGAAGCGCGCCCTCTGGCTGCATCTCAAATCAGACGTTATTTCCCAAGCATAGGTATCCCGCTGCAGTCATCGAGTGGTGAAGTATCTTCTCAAGCACAAATCTCCAAAACTAGGAATGCTGCGCTAAGCGCGCATGAAAGTTAAGCAGTCATTCAGGTTGATGGCATGGCCACGGGCCATGTCGGCCAGCTCGCCTGAGATAGCTCCTCTCTTCTGAACGAGACGTCAACGGGTCGAGGCCACGCGAACGTGTTGCATTGACGAAATTCGAAGCAGTATGGTACAACTGATGACCGATGATATGCTGCGCTTGTCCAAAGCATGCCGTAGCCATTGGCTTGAATCCGCGCGCAGTGCGGCAACGAGGTCGCCGGTCCTGGCCGATATGCAGCACCCCGACGCAGCATCTGGCCTCCTCAAAGCCACCCGTGTGCAATGTCCCGCGCACAAATGCTTCATGCTGCAGCAGTATGCACAGGCGCAGCCACCATCCCGCAGCTGATTCACAATGGATGGCACGTGCAAAATGCCCTGGTGTACGCCCTCCACATTGCGGACATCACACGCAACGTGCACAGCTCTCCCATGCAACAAGCCAAGGCCGGGTCCACATGACCACATGCAATGACTAGCTGCAAGGGAAAGGTCACACGAAATGTGTGATGCAAACCACAGGCTGATCTCCCAAACCTTTACATCATCATCCTCAAATGTACATGGCACCGTCTGGTCAGTACAGCGGACCGCACACGCCAATCCAACCATCCGACTGAACACAACCATGCGCCCGGGGCAGCCTGGACCAAGCAGCAGCAAGGCCCAGCGCCCCAGAGAGCACCCAAAGCCATGCCATGGAGAACGACGAGCGCGCTTCCCCAGGCCGCGCAAGGGCCGCCTCACCTAGACATTCAACTTAATAGAGCAACGAGTTCCAGTATACACAACGCCGCTATTCTTATCAGCATCACGTTATGTCAGCAACATGGACAACACACACGCGGAACTGGGCACAGGGTGCGCAATGTACACAGGCGCACAGGCCCACTGCAAACCATTGAAACAGAGCAGCCGTGGTGATGTGCAACAGGCTGGATTATTACGAACCATTTCAAACCGCATTGCCAATCCCACACCTTCAGCATCGGCAACGATGCAAATTGTTCACCAGAATGGGTGTCCTCCACTCACATTCGACGAGCGTCTCCCCACAGAGCGAAACCTAATCACAGGCTGATGAACGCCAGCAAAGGAGGCCCTTCAGTCCCGGCCTGTGGTGGTGTTTTTCGGCTACCTGGGTCTTCACAGTGGGGACCTCATGAACCACAGGCGCCGGGTCGATGACCTGGAAGTACGCATTCGTTTCCATGTTCACTTGTGTTGATGACTTGGTCTCCTCTGCATCATCTGCCTCTGGCGATGCAGGCTTGTCTTCCAAAGTCTGTGTACAGCGCGACGAACGTTAGTCAGATCAAAGACCATGGCAATCACACGTTTCAGCCTCGGCATGCCCCTAAGCGCTGAAGCGACCATTTCAAAAATACATAGTTTTCAAGGTCGTCAAAGAGTGATGACCCAAAACTCCCCGAATAGAACAAACAAAAAAACATTACTTCAAACAAACATTACAAACAAACAAACAAACAAACAAACATTACTTCTCGTCAATCTGAAATAGGTGAAATGAGACAGAAAACGGCAAGTTGGTGCGCGCTTGAGTCCACTGCACTGTCTCTAGTGACGCCCATTCAATTCAGCTGGATAATATTTTCTCAGTACTTTGTGACAGATGCAATGCACTAGGCTCTAGCTACAATCCAAGGACTGATGAACGACGTGATGTGGAGACAACAATGGCAGATTTGTGTTCTGCTGGAGAGCAGCCATGTATCGCGTTCGTGACATGTCATCAGCTGATTCACCAGTATCCCGGCTGGCGATCGATTGGCTACCAAGAACGGCACACATCGCATTTCAGGTTGGCAGGTGCAAGGGACAGTGGATACAGCACAGTAACAGTCTTTGCATGGACGATACACTTGGCCACACATGTACATGCCAGTATTAATTATGTGGTGAGACATATACAAGGTGAAGTCTACCAGTCTATTCAGAATACAGACACAAAGATCCACACACATGTGAAACATCCTGTTCCAAGTTGCTTCAGTGACTTCTGAAGCAACATTCACAGAAACCAATAGGGTCGCACGTCACCGTTCATGTTCAAGAGGGGCTTATGCACTTATACGTCTCCATTCAGCAGTGGTGCCAAGTTTCGAGCGATTGGAATTCTGGCAGAGGGGCAACTCACTGGTTGATCATCTGTTGTGGAGGTTGTGCTGCTAGTGGTGCTTGTTGATGCCCTGCAATCACAACAGAGAAGTGATTCGAAAAATCGCTTGACCAGGGGACATTGGCCAGAATAACAATCTCTATGCAGCAAGGCCTGGCAGTACGTGTCGCCACTATCCATCTGACCATGCTACAACGAATCGTTGAGCTCAGGTTCCTTGCACAGCCAGAGACCATTCGACCATGCACACAAGTATCAGATCGTGCGCACAACCTGATTTGGCAATAAACACTTTGAGCAACGCCTTCGCAGGTCTTGACGTGCTGCCACTAGATTGACCAAATCACACATTCAAAAGATACCACAAACACTGAGAATAGAACGTGCACAATGGCAGGCTTGTACAAAGCTGGCACTGGGGTGTCAGCAAGGCTGGAACACAGATGAGGACATGGCAGACATCGATTTATGGTGCAGACCACTCCATACAGCACAGAGTGTGCATGACCTCCTTTTGTTCACAGCCCTTGTCTGGAGCCATCACTGTGTGCTTGCCGGTGATGCATACTTGCAGATTTGCAAAAGGCAAGCACTGGAGGCAAGATTGACTCTCCACAGTTTTGGCCAAGGCGTACGGACTGGCTCGGCCCATTTTGTGCTGTGTCAGCGCCCATGGAGTTGGGGCAAGGCAATTCCATCTGTCAGTCTTGGGAAACACTCCATGAGACACCAGTCCAATGCTACCAAGGCTTCACAAAGGGACCCTGTTTGGGCTCTATGGCACTGCAGATGGACACATTCAGAGGTGGGTGTGGCTCTTTGAGATGTGCTTCACAGCGCTGGTACAGACTGCACAACTGAGGATGCCCTGTTGACCATTGACATCACCTCAGCAGCCACGATGGTGAAAGGGCTTTGCTATGCAGCATCGTGCTGGATGCAACAAATGGGGCCCTTGGTGCATGTTCACTCAGACTCACCTGGTGTATTGCAGAGGAATGGTTCAAGAGTGGATGGCATCGCTGGAGGTTGAGTGGGAGAGTAGCAGAATTGGGATTTGGACTGGTCTTCACTGGTGCTAGGTCCAAGTCGGAGAGCCTACTTAGCTGGCTGTGCGGCTGATCTATGTTATGTATACAGTTACCTTCCACTGATTTTTCCATGCTGAACCTTCATCGTTGCAAAAGCTCCTTCTCTCCAGCGCAGTCGATACAACCTACGCACTTGCACATGCAGCTCAATTTCGCAGCTCCTTCACCACACCTGGGTTTCTTGGGCGCAGGTGACGGCTTCTTGGGCTTGACGTCGGGCTCACCCTTCTGGCCACGCAGCTTGGATGACTCGGTGGGGCACATGTAGCTAGGGGACTCTGATCGAATCCTTGCGCCCTTGGGCCCCTATCCACAACCATTACCACCTTTCAACAACCAAAACTGCAAACAAAGGGAAACGCACACCAGCAACATGTTCTCCGCAAAAGATCACACGACAGAACATGAGCGGACTGCCCGCGGACCTCGACAGGACTCCCACGCATTCTCGCTCACAAGGATGCACATGGCTCCGGCAGCTCGGCCAACAAAGGGTCCGATGGGGGCGATTCCGCAGCCCAGACCGCAGGTTTTCGCAGACCCGTCGCCGCGTCGCCGTGCCGCGCCCCCCACCTTCGTGCTCTCGGCGCCCAGATCCCGCCTCACGCCCGACAGATCAAGCGCCGCATTCTCCTTGCCGGGCCTGGGGGGGTGCGAGCCGCGAGGTGTGGGCGCGGGCAGGGGCGGCGTGGCCGCGGCCTTGTTGCTCGACGCCCGGCCCACGGGCAGCCACACCGCCTTCACCTCCTGCTGCTTCCCCCCGTGGCCGTTGGCAGCCCCATCCTTGGGGAAGGGGCTCCTCCGGCGGCCGTTCTGGGCCGCGCTGGAGGCCGGGGAGACGACGACCGGCGAGGTTGGCGGCTCCGCCACGGGCGACGTTGGGGGCGCCATCGCGCGCAACCCAGCTGCCTGTCGACCTGCGGCCACAACAAATTTGAGTGGGCATTTGCGGAGAAGAGGCCCGGATGGAGGCAAGGAGGCGATCGGGGGGCGGGTGCCGGGAAAGCCCTTTAGGTCCCGGAGGGACGAGAGCGGACGGAAACGATCGGACCGGACAGGGAGTGCCGACAGCGGTACAGCCGCTTGGCGACAAGGGACAGTCGGGGAGGGGGGAGGGTGGGGGGCGCGGGCGAGAGGAGGGGTCCTCCATAACGGAAGTTTCCGCCCTCGCAGCAATCCAGGGACCGGTGCCCCTCGGGTTTTCCTCGCTCGACGCATCCCGACCGGCGGGCCGCCCGTTCAGGGGAATATCGGCCTGAGCACGTGGAAGGGCTCCGGGCTCCACGCCGAGCGCGCCAGCGCCCGGCCCCCCCCCCGGTCTTGAACCAGCCGGGAGGCCGCCGGGCGTGGGCGCCGCCGAGATGCCCAGCCCTGAGATCGCAAGGCCGCGGTGATCACGCCGCCCCAGGAGATGGTCTCCGATCGTCGACCCTGGACAGGGCGGTGGCCTCGGGTGTCCCCGAGCGCGGGGACTCTCACCTGAAGGAGGATTCGCCCCTTCGAAGACGCGAGTCGGAGCGCGGGCGAGCGCGCCGGGCGACCACGGGCGCGGGGCTGGGAGGGGCCCCGGCCGGGGGCGAGAGCTGGTGAGGGTGCGGGCACCTCTCGCAGCCCCCCCACGCAGAGGCAAGGGCCTGCGAGGGATGACCAAACCAACCAGAATCGTTGTTACTCACGGGGGCCTGTTGGGTCGGGAAGTCTGTCTGGTGTGGGGGCTGGTGGGTGGGCGGGGCTTTTTTGGGGACAGGCAGTTGTTCCTCTAGTACGCTGTGGTGATAGATGTGTTGATGTGGGGACGTGCGGGACGACATGGTGTCGTCGCTGAGGTTGGTGCGGATAAGGGTGTGTCGTACAGAGAGGGCGCCGCGGGTGTTGAGTGCTCGCACAGTGGGTCGTGACGCTACTCTGGCCGCAAAGTCAGTTCCGACATGTGTGGCTTGCTTTGTGCGCAAGAGGCGGGTGCGCAGTGCAGACTGCCGTCGTTGCATGAAACGAAGCTTTGCCCCACCTTGCCACCCACAAATTAGAGCGGAATGGCAGGAGACTGGGACAGAAAGTGGCGGCAAATGCACTGTTATCGATATCCTGTTTCAGCTTGTCAACTTTGAGCTTCTGATGGGCGTCTGATAGACATGGATGCGCATCTCTCTATCATGAAGGCCTTCCCCTAGACACCATCTGGGGTTTTCTCACGGTGTGCCTATGAGAAGCCTACTGAGGGCCGCTGGCTTCCTCAAAACCACCCTAAACCCCTGCACGCACTCTTCAGTCGTGGATTGCTGGCAAACGGACAACTGCACAAGCAGGCATTGCGAAGCGAGTTCTTGTGCCTATCCAGGCTGCTGGCCCAAATTTGGTGACGTGTATTTCCTGTGCGCGTTTGGCCTTGCCTCTGTCCGCACGTGTCCCAAAAATGACGATGGACAGCAAGTTAGCATTCATAGATAACTCTCGCTCCTTGCAAAGAAGCTCACCGGCAAGTCTGACTCCAGCCGCGTCTTCCCCCACAACGCAACGGCTGTCGTCGTACCTGTTCCCAGCTTTCACAAAGCCAGCCAGCTTTGGCTGGCGCCGAAAAGCCCGAGCTCCCTCTGCAAAGACCACACAGCATGGTCCCAAAATGCGTTGACGGATTTTCAGAACAGCAAATGGAAGAGGCGGAAAATGTGGGGCAGGCCACCCGTCAACGGCGAATTGTGGTGCTGGGTGAGAGTGGCGCGTCAAGACGCCTGCAGATGTGCCGCTACGCCCCTCCCGTGCATCGTACCGGAGGGCGTACCCTCTACGCTGCGCATACGCTCAGACGTGCGTGCGTACAGCTGAGCGAACACATCAACCCCAACTCCTGCTGCGGTTCCACATTCGGTACGCCCTGTAACGCCTGCGGCCGTTCCACAGCTCCTGTCCAAATTGCGGGAATGGGTACTGCAGCGATCCCCGAGAGCGAGACGCGCACGGGGCAGCGACGAGAGCCTCGGGCGCGAGTCTGCCTTCCTCGTCCCTCACCGCAGCCGCGCATGGCCAGCACATGAACGTGCGCGCAGGCCACATAGTTCGCACTGCCAACAGTTACCGTTGACGCCGTCCGCACTCCTGGAGAGCAAGACTTGCCGCTGCGCTGGGAACGCCATATGCAGGCTCAAGACCCCATCGTCTCCCCCGCCCAGCTGTACTGACACGGTTTCAGTGGCGTGCGTGCCGCACCCATATGGCTGGTGTGCTAAAACCTCAGTGACGTGAATGCCTGATGCCGAACTGCGGCGAGTGCAGCTAGGCGCGATGGATCAGACCGCGCAGCGCTGCGCCCGGCTAGCCCGGCTTTGACTCCGCCGACTTTTCGCTTCCTTTTACAAAATCGCCACAGCGTGTCAAAGGTCGCTGCCGATCGAACACGGAGCCGAACGACGCGGCGGAGCGCCGTCGCGGCGTTCGCGCCAATTTGTTGCCGCGGCCAATTCACGCAACATTGGCCTGCACACTGGCAAGTCTCTTCAACACAGCTCAGCGCACAATACAGTGCTTCTCAGACAGTCAAGCAATGAAAGCTTTCCGGGCCCATACCGGCAGATGCTGTTGCCGCCCGTGGCCCAGGCGCCCAGCAAAAATCCGCTGAAGCGGAGACCAAGACGCGCGAGGACACAGTCCTCGGAGCCGATTCAGCTCACGGCACCCGGCGCCTTTGTGCTGGGGCGTTGCGGATGGCTGGCTTGGCGGGCGCCGCCGGGTCCAGCTTGTGTCCTTCACCGTCTTCTTATGCCTGGAATTCCTATAGGGCCGCGGGGCGGACTGAAATTGACCGTCGCTCGAGTGGCTTTCTGCGGTACAGGTTGCATCACGGCGGACGGTGTCGGAGACTCCGGCTCAGGGTGTACCTCAGGCGGGTAGTCATCGGGATGACGAGAGCAGCAGGGCCCAGCAGGGCATACAATTACTGGCTGCACCATATCGGTGATTTTTTGCACTAAATCGGTTACTGCTTGCACCAGCTCCCTCCAAAACTTACCTAACCTAAACCCTAAACCCTAAAACTAAACCTGCCCTAAACCTGACTCTAACCTAAAACTAACCCTAAAACTAAACTTAAACCTAAAACTGAGGTTAGGACATAGTGTTCATGTGATTTGGTGCAAGCAGTCACCAATTTGGTGCAGGCAGTAATATTATTTCGCCCAGCAGAGTGCCATCCCATGTGGGATGCATCAGGACGCATCCTGATGCGGGACCCTGCGTTCTATTGAAGCCAACCACGTGCACCGTCTGTCCTTTCGGGTCGTCATGCAATAGAGAATTCAAATGAATGGGGGAGGCAGGTTACAAGGCAGTCTCGCCCCCCTCCCCCCTCTTGTGGCACGGATAGAAACGGGAACTGCTTAGGACTGGGTATATGGGCAAATCGTAATGTCTCAAAATCGTTGATTAATACTTCTGAAGAGACTCCACATGGCTGCTTCGACGAGACAAGGTGGATCAGGAGTGCTGCTGGCCACTTTCAAGCCAATTCGCAACTCGCACTGCATTGTTGTGGTGTGATGCAATATGCAACATTGCACATTGTCAGGCCCCCGCTTGCAAAACACAGCAGGTGCGAGTGGGCAGCTTTCAACCCAGAAAAACTTGACCAGCAGATTGTTCTTTCTGATTTGCACCTACTGAACTTGCTGTTGTTCGGGTCGCCAAAAAATGGGACCAATCTAACATGATGATTGGCAGTCAATTTTTCTACGTACTGTCACTAAGCTGGCGCCCCGTGGGGCCCAGAATGTGTTTTAGAGTTCAGCGGATAGACCATGGCAGACTGGGGTGCAACTTTGAGGATCAGATCATCAACAGCAAGGGACATTGAACATCATCAACGGCCATTTAAGCAATGGCCAGAGTAGCACAATGTACACGCAGCTGTGGGCATGCACTACGTCAGTGCACTGGACTCAGACTTCGACTGCGACTCAAGGATATGATGCCCAGCTCGTCCATCAGAAAATGAGCTAAGATGCCGGCATGCTGCAGGTTTGGTTCCTCAATGACAGCTGCGAGCAAGTCCGTCTGAATTAGCAAGGGTCTCAAAGTCAGAATAATGTGGAAACGGCTCGAGATGGGTTGCATAGATGTGTGATGTCGAGTCTTTTCTACTTTAACATTTGATGGGCTTTATGTTTCCCCTAGTGGCACCTGACATCCAGAATGGCGATATGACCCGTTTGCTAAATGAACATCAGAGGTTGTATTTGTTTTGCCATGTGTTGACATGGATAGAATGGTTATGGGCGCGCTGGTTGAGTGCTATATATATCACTTGAATTGCCATGATGGCAGCTGTGTGAAATGCGGCAGTCCTTTAATCGAAAACAGAGGGCTCACATGGCATTTTTTCATGTAGCCTAGGCTGCGTGTTATGTGGTGTCACTGCAATCCTTGTATGAGGATTAAGTGAGCGGCTGTTAAACAAATATGGGACCCGTGTTCGGGGATAGGATGGACGGGGAGGGAATCGCATGTGAACTCCTAGAGTTGATGCGACTTTTAGGGATCAAAGTGGATTGGTGCGCTGACATCTATGAGGTTTGGAGATTTCGAAGGGCTATTTCGGGTGGCTGCCGCGACATGTGCGGCGCCAAAAGGTCGCGCTGCCCGTTTTGGGAGGGGATGCAACGGAACGAACAAGAGTTTGTGAAGCTGTAAGCGCCTTGCTGGTGTTCTCTTAGTGCGTGGCCTTTGCGCACAGGTTGTGGCATGTAACCCGACAAGTTTGGCTTCAAAGCCAGCGGTTTTCGATCCCAAAAGTTCGGGTGCTAGCGTGATGCGTCCGCGGCATGCTCATCGTTCGGGCTGGCTGGGGTCCTGGGTGAATCCGTGAGAAGCGCTGCAGTTTCTGTCAGCGTTTCTGTCCATGTCCTTTTGGATTGCGCGCGCCTGGACATGCATGGCCAGTGGGCAGTTTTGCCCGTGTTTCTGTGATCGATTTGCCAGCAACATGCGGAGCGGCGCAATCTCACCGCCTTTTGCCGCTTTCTTCGACCGCTCTGGCATAGGGGACGGGCGAATCTTCTACAGACTTGCGCTGTGCCACCCTGAGGGTCTGGCCATGTTTCGGCCACGATCTTCGCAATGTGGAGCGACAAAGTATGAGGTTTCGGCCATTCAGCGAAAGACTTAGCCAAAAACCGCCACGCTAATATTTCAATATGGGGAAAGGCTGCATATCCTACTGCACAGGATAAATGGCGCGCCGTGTCCAGGGGGGTGCTGTTGACCATGTGGAAATGGGATTTGTGCACACAAAAACAAGGGTTGTTTCGTGTTGCTGTAGGAGGAATCAACTCTGAGGCCGGTCGCGGTGCCAACGCCAGTCATATGGTTGCCATGTGTGAAGCAGCGAAATGACGTTGGCAGATGTCTGGACCGGACCGTTTGCATGTCCTGCATGCAGTTACGGACATCGAGCGAGGCGTTTCTCGTAAAGATGAAATAGTCAATTCTGCGAGACTGCGCATCGTGGCGCTCAGGGCAAAATCGCACTTCCATTGGTTGTTGCAGCTGTGGTTGTTTGCAGGGGAAGAACGGGCCAAGCTGGAACGATTGGTTGCTAAGGATTAATCCTTGCTAAAGCTTTACCAATCCACGAGGATTCTTACCGCGGCTCCTGCAGGACTATGGAGAAGAAGCTCGTGTAGCTCAGTGCCAAGTATGGTGGTATCGAAAATGCATACATGCACATCCAGAACTCCAATAGACTCTCAACAGCACATACAGATTCGACGTTGTGTGATGCTACGCTACCTAGCTCCATTCCGTTTGAATAGACGTTTCGATTTGGTAAGCAATGGTGGGCCAAAACATTGCACACAGCACCGCCCGTTCCGGCAGGCCAGTTTGGCAGGAAGTGACCAAAATTTTAGCCCCTGAAATTCACTCATGACAACAGAAATCGAGCACAATGAATCTGCAGCAGTCCAGCCATCCCGGGGCCTGGCTGCCACCACCCACGTCCTATTCGCCCACACTTCGAGTTCAACAGCCGCCATGGACGACTCACCAACAACAGCACTGCCCAATCTTCTCTCATTCAAGTCGCGATGTGGCGACACAAAGTTCCTGGAGACCAGAACAAGGAGACATCCAGCAGTCTGCTGCACTGACTGGCAGCAGAGGGTCTCCAGCAAACCCAACCAAGCACACCCAGCACATCCTGCACTGCACTATGACAGACTTGGCCAGGTGGACTTTCTGATTTGTACATAATGTTGGCCAAACAGGACGGAACGGACCCCCCCCCCATGTGGCACAAATGTGTGCCCCATGTTTCCAGCCAGCCACTGCCGCCCACTGTCACAGGACAGGAGGCCCTGAAATCCGATGCCACTCCACAGTACCCTCCAAATGCAGGCAACAAGCAGCAACACCTGCACAGCACACATTAAGGTGAGAGAATGATACACAGAATCCCCAATCTCAGTGGGGTACCGATGCCAACCCGATCCACAAAATCACGCATCCCATCGTGCATAATGCCAAACCCACCACCAGGCTGGCATACCAACAGCCAGCTGGGGGAAATGAAGAGCCACCCTGATGGTATAGGATCGAAGTTGTGGGGTGCAAATTCCAACACACTGCAATACTGTGTCATGCTGCAGGCACCCTCAGGACATCCAAAGGAAAACCATAACCTTGGATACTGCAATGTGTCGAAAGCTGGAGAACGATGCAATGAGAGAGTAGCATGTCATGCCGGCAAGTAGCAGAACGACTGACATGGTTGTGATCGTCCGCACTTGTTTTTGGATATGAGCCTCAACCCCTCACTGCAGCCTGGCCATCAATGACAGCAGCAGCCCAAATGGCTCTATCCTACTCCTTGACCACTCCAGCTCAGGATGGGGTAGCTTGCTGGCTGCTGCCTCTGCAGCTGGGTGTTTGAGACAATGGCCAATATGCCTCAATATTCAGCAATATTCTGAAGGGCACTGCAAGATAAATGTCAACAGGTTCCCATGTCAGCGCATCTTGTGAGATGGGACCTACCAGGGCTATCATCCCAGGAAGGGTGCCCCGCACGTGCACTTCTTCCGGTTTCCCATGCACACGCCCTCGAAGCATGGGTGCCTCTTTGCGAACGACTCATCCACAGGCGCGGCCAGCAGAGCAGCCTCCACGGATTTCCACATGCCGGCCACGTTGCGTACCTGGTGTCAGTCAGGTATTGCCGTTTCAGCAGAAAACAAACATGGCATTCAGCGGCCAACCCCTTCCCGAGTGAGATCCATTTTGACACACTTTCCCACACAGGAAAAGCCGTTGCTGAAACCTTCTCATACTAAGTGGGAAAGCACTTGCTCTTCCAATCTCCCGTGCTGAGCGGACAGTAGGAACGTCCTTTTACTTGGACGCGCCGTTCTGGCAATCGTTATTCCACGTTCATCACGGGCGTTGAGCATTGAACTGGCAGCAACACCCACGCATTTGGGCACCCCGGCCCAGCAAAAGCATGGTCGGATTCTGCGTCCCGGCGCCCCTGCTGCACCGCAAGTGGCCAAGCGCGCCACAGCGGGCTCGGAAACCCTCGCCGCCCTGAAAACGATCGCCCATCGCGGGCGCCCGTCCAAAACGGGCAGGGCACGTGACACCCACCTGGCGGTAGTAGTTGAACAGCTGCATCGACTTGAGCGCGTCGCTCACGGCGTTGTGCGGCTGCGTGCCGCCCGCGCTGTTGTAGCCCAGCAGCACCTTGGCCAGGTGGTCCAGCGAGAACACGGACACGCTGTTGTAAGCGGCGTTCCAGATCCTGTACAGGCCCGCCAGGTCGACCATCGACTCGAAGTCCACGCCCTCGCGCAGCGACAGCCAGCCCACGTCCTTCCCGATGCTCTGCCCCACCAGCACGGCGTAGGGCGGCAGGTAGCTCCGCAGGTACTGCATCGCCGTCGCCAGCGGCACGCCGTGCTTCTCCAACACCTCCCTGCTCAGGCCCGTCAGCGGCGACAGGTAGGACGCCACGGGTGCCTCCGGCTTGACGTAGATGTTCAATAGCACGCGCTCGTACTCGTCCACCAGCGAGATCTGACCCACGCCGCGCGCGTTGTGGTCCGTGCCCGTGGCCACGCACTCCACGTCGATCGAGAAATACTTGGGGGGCCCCGGGGCGTACCCACCCCCTAAGCTACCGAATCGCGCCATCTGCTGGTTGTAATGAGCCGCCCCGGCCGCCTGCGACCCCCCCCTGCCCCGCCGGGAGCCGTTTGCCGGCACCATCCCGCCGCGATGCATCTGCGCCGATCCCCGGGCCCCTGCCTTTCCCCCCGATTTCGGTCGGTCGCCTGCTTGCGCCGCTCGGCCGCTCACGGGCCGTCCATGGCTGACGCGGGGCCGCGGCTGGGGATGGCCGGAGGGGGGGTGGTCGGGGGCCGCCGGGCCGGCGGGAGGCGGGGCGTCGGGGCCGGGGACGTTTCTGGGTGGGCGGGGCGAGGCTGCGGCGGGCATGGTAGGGCCCTCGGGGCCGCCGCCGCGGGCCCCGCACTGGCGGGGGAGCCAAGGCGAGGGAGCGGCAGAAAAAACCCCGGGTGGGGTGGGGAATGGGGCATTTTTGGGGCTCTGACCCTGGTTTTGTCTTGATGATTGTCATGGGGGAAGGGGGAGTATGTTCTTCGCGGGATAGCTTTTTCAAGGAAGGGAGTGTGCGGGTGGCCGGGAGCTTTGGCGCGTTTGAAACTGGCTTTCGGGTGTGGCCCGTTTGTGAGACTTGCAGTCTTGGTGCGTTGGCGGCGCTTCCGGAATTTGAGCTCTGGCGCGGACGTAGAAACCCTTCTCTGAACCAGAAAAAGGGTGAGTCCGTCCATTTCGTGCAAAATCGCTGGCGGACTGGTCCGTCTTTGGGCGTGGACAAGCTGCAGTCCCCTGATCACACATGCTGCACCCAACGCGTGCTGAGCAATTCCTTCACCACGCATTTCAACACCGCACCCAGCATTTTCTATCCTCACATTCCCACATCATTCCACTCCTTTTCCTTCTCGCACCGTGCTCATTGGCGTGGTCACATATTACGTACATCTCACGCACGAGGTGCGTCATGCCTGGCATGATTGGAAGCGAACGAGCAGCTGCGTGGGCAGACCACAGAGCCTGTCAGTCAGGGAAAACTATATATGTCTGCGCCTCCGCACGCCCAACGAAACGCGTCCACGGAGCTGTAACGAGGCTACAGCGAGCAGGCCTAGGAATCCTAGGAATTCAAGACGTGGAACAAGATCCACCGAAACAGCTAGCCGCTATCGGCAGCATTCGACAACACGCGGCTGCAATGTCGCGCCACGAGAGGCTGGCTACCAGTCCGGAAGGGCGACGCATTCCGGATCCGGATGAAGGAGACGACGAGGGGCTGCGGCAGGCCCTGCTGTCAGCGCCGGGTGGTGAACATCCGGAGCGGGACCCCTCAGAGTTTCCGTCAAGAAATCGAGCTATGAACAGGTGGGCAGGGAAGGACGGCACATGGGCGAATGCCGACTGTTTCACCAACATTGTGTATGGTGATGCGGGCGCTTGTTGCCCTCATCTCTTCTTGTGGAACGTTACCGCTTTCGCTGCTTGCAATGCACGTGGTGGAGTTCTCTATGGAGCCGTGGTCGCTGCAATCATCTTTGCTGTTGGAGATATGGGCGTTGTGGTACGGAAGCCCTGGATTGAGAATTGATTATCTGTCCGCGGGAGCCAAGCTTTGGAAGCCGTATAATTTCGTGGACGAAGCAGTGAACCGTAGATTGACTCATGGCTTGTATATTCTAGATTTTTGGCGCTTGGAGGTCCCATATTTTGCATGCGGATGGCTACGTTTGTGCTGTGGCTGATGCTTCACGTCTGTCTTGGGCACTTGGGCGTTGCACAGCTGTCTGCAGGGCTACTTGGGTTCACGATGTTCAGAGGAACGGCATTGTCCATCCTGATCAGTCTCACAGCTGGGCTCAATACTATAGGAGGCCAGGTGCGCATCCCTTTTCTCGCCTTCCACATTGTCTTGTCAAACCACCCGCCCCTGTTGTCTTGACCTCCTTTGCCTCATCGTTGTGCTCTGCACCACTTAATTAGTGGATGCGCACAGTTTGGAACATGCGATTGTGATTTGCTATAGAATTACCAATTGCATAGTTCAGTGCATATGCGAAGCTGGAATGTATATCGCCATTGCAAAGCCGCTTCACACCAGTCTTCACTCTGCTTGTTCTGGACCATGCCCTGCTTTGTGCATTGGCAACGGAGGCAGACTATGTGTTGTGCAAGAGGTGGTGTTATGGCTGCCAACAGGCTGAAAGCATGGCTCAAAACATCACAGCCCACTCAAGCAATCATGCCTGAGACGCTCTTGCCAATGTGATCAATGTGAGATGACGATTCGAGAGCTCAGCACAAAATAGGGCACATCGCCACCGCTGCCATTTGTGCTAATTGCATTCGTCACATTTTGCAGGCATTTGGTGCGAAGGAGTATCGACTGGTGGGCCTTGTCTTCCAGCGCTCCCTGGGCTTCTGCCTCCTGTTCTCTTTAACGATCGCAGCTGTGTATACCCAGAGCGAGTGGCTGTTCAATCATCTGGGCCAGAAGCCCCAGCTGGCACATGCAGCTGGACGTTTTTTGTTTCTGCTTTCTCCCAGTGTTGTGCTCCTTGCTCCCCTTCTATGTCTCCAGTATTACTGGTTGGCACAGAAAGTCTCGCTGCCATCGGTGATGTCTGGGGCCTTGAGTGTGCTCGTGGCCCCTGCCGCATTCTGGTATTTCATTTTCAGGTATGGGCAACAATTGTCGCTTTTTGTCCCTGGCATATAGGCTATGGCTGTGGTGTGACACTGCAACAGTAGGCTGACGTCAGAGCCACAATGAAACCTGCAGTCACATGTTATGTACGGGTGTTGGTTGGTCACATTTGCGTGAGGGCTGCCGTTGTGGAAATTTGCTGATGTGGACTATGCAAGGAACAAGGGCACAGAATACCATCCTTTTACAAGCTCTCTGGACCAACTTGTGATAACTGCACAATGGTGCTGTTGCAAGCACCACACCCATTGATCAGTATCACAACTGGCAAGTCTGCACCTTGTTGGCAATTTGTGGTGCGATGGAAACTGTAGGGGCATTAGTGTCATTGCACAAATTCTGCAGTGCAACAAAGTCAATGCCCCTACCAGCTGGCCCTCTGGGGTTTGGGCTGTACCATGTGTATCAGATCAACATAGGCCATGCGCAAGCTGCCATGCGCCTCCTGCCAGCACGGAGCAAAAGTCGCCACAGTGCTTAACAACTCTTGGACCAAAGTGGGCACAAGACAGTGTACTTTAATGTGCTACCAGTGGTAAGCATTCAATGCTTCTTAATGAAACTTGATGCTTAGTGCTCAAGAAGATTTAGTAGGTTGCAGCACTCATGGGTCGATGCATGGCAGCCGTCAGCACAAAAACAGCTCTACTGCGTCCTGTAGCCAACTTCGTGTGCATATCCCACCAATGCCTCGTTGCACAAAATTGTTGCTGTCTGTACAAACGATGCATGCTGCGATTGTGGCAGACATGTCATCATGCCATTTTTGCCAACGCGCTTGCTGCCCTGCCCTGCAATGAATCTGATCAAGATTCATCCTATCTTCCCATCAATATGAGGGGGGGGGTTCGGTGTTCTTTTTGCCAAGCACTGTGGCACTCTTGTGGACCGCTAGAAAAGCTGATGATATCTGATCAGTAAAACTCAGTGGAGGCACATGCCTTGTCTGGGGTGTTTTGTTTGCTTTTACTGCGATTGATGCATTCATTCATTGTCCTGGTTGCACAGGAAATCTTGGGGTACCAATGGGGGGGCAATTGCCCTGGATGTCATCCTCGCATTTCGGGTTGTGATCCTGGCGATCTGGACAGTTGTGGTGAACTGTAAAAAGGCAAAGGCAGGAGCAATGGACATCGCATGGCACGGGTGGTCTGTACAGGCGCTGAGACAGTGGGGAGAGCTGCTGAAGATTGGGATGTACACCATCCTTATGATGTCTGTCAGGGGCTGGTTGTTTGACTACTATGCAATTTTGTCAGGTAAATCACTTCAATAATATACTAAAGCTCTAGTGTTCTTGCTGAAACTGCAGTGCTGCAGTAGCTTTTTTTTTGGGGGGGGCGGAGGGGGCCCTGAGTACACTGTCCTCGAAAGGGACTGCATTTGCTGCGAACAGAGTACTGCACAATATTGGATGCCGTTGACTTCCATGGTTTTGATATCACACGTGCTTCGGCCGTTCAGTTGGCTCTAATGGCTGTTCTTTTTCATGGCCTGGGCCCTTGGGTACACCCTTGGCACAGGTCATTGAACGCATTCCTGGAGGAAAGCTGCAAATGGGAACTCGCATCCAAATGTGGTGCATGCTGATGGATGGTGGCACCTGCTCAGTGGCAATATGCCACTGTGGATGTGTTGGTGCAGAGTTGATGTGTTACATTTGCAGGCAGCACCAATTTGTTGCAATTTGGCTGTGGACGAACATCAAGGGGTTCAATATCACAAAATCTGCAATTAGCTCTGCCCTTCATAACCTTTTAAGGCGGTCAGGCCTAAGTTTCGACAGATCCACAACAGCTGGATTCACAACAGCAGGATTATTGACACTAGTGCATTGTGTGGATCATGTCAGGTGTCCTGCCACGGCCAGAGGAAGCCATCAGCATATTCGGAATATCATTGTACATATTTAACATTTCAATGGTGGTGGCGCGCTCCTTCAATGCCGGCCTTGCCTTCGCGGTGGCACATGAGATTGGGGCAGGGAATGCAATACAAGCAAAGTACACAGTGCGGGCTGCATTCTTCATAATGTTTGGGGTGTCACTGTTGTACAATTGCGTGGTGTTGGCGTCCTCGAAGGTCATTGGCTACATTTGGACAAATGATCAAGGCGTTGTGTCCAGGCTGCCAAGTGTCCTGTTGCTGGCTTGCGCAACGAGTATATGTGAGCATTCCCCTCCACCCTGCCTCTTCCAATTTTGTCGCGGTCTTGGTGTCTTTCTTAATTCAAAACGTAAAATATGTTTCGGAGTTTTTGCTGCTGCTGTTACTGTGTCCACAGTCAACTGGTGTTGTATCAGCGCTCAAAAAGTGGACCATCCATGCATCATCTTTGTTCGAATGCGTCTCCCAGTTGGCGACCATCAGTGGATTTGGGTTACCTTGTTGTCGTGTGGCGGTAGCATTCTCTGCTGCCAGCACCATTTGTGCGAGCGGGGAAACAGTGCGTACGCTTCTAGCAGAGCTGGTGCATGCCTATTGCCTTACGCAATAGGAATTAGAATATGCGATTGCCTGATTCCTTTTGTGGACGGATGGTGCTTGTGTGTTCTCGTTACCAACCACGCTGTTTGTTGTTGGCCCTTGTGTACCATTTCGCGACCCAGGCGTGTGCGGGGATGTATGCCTTGGATTTCGTTCAGAAAATATTCCTGCCACAGTCTGCTTGAAACTGTGCTCAATGAATGCCTCTGTGACCTCTGTGTTTTGTGAAGAGAATGAACAGAACCATTCGCAGCCAACGCTAGCGATCATGCTGAAACTTTTGCTGCAACAGTATGCCGGCCACTGCAGCGTGCACATAGTTTGTGATGCGGAGGATGCGAATGTCCTACTCTCGATTATTAGCAGTACAGTGTGGCACGTTGAGAACACATTGCACTTGACGGCTTGTGCGTGATGAGAAATCATTGGAGCCAATTGCACATGCCACGCGCAGTAATTGTGGGACAGACACGAGCCAATCGCGCTGCTTGTGGATGGGAGTTCATATTTCTGTCTGGAACTTGTGCCAATAGAGTGGGTGTGGCTTCCGCAGGTCAAACCCTTGCTCACATCTTCACTGGCGTCTTGAATGGCGTTCGGCGCCAAAAGGAAGGCTCCCGCATCGTCAGCGTCATCTACCCCCTCCTAGGCATCCCGGGACCCTGGCTATTTTCCTTCTACCTTGGCTGGGGCGTCATCGGCCTCTGGACGACGAGGCTGATCGTCGTGATTCTGGAAGTGATCCTCCTTGGGCGTGTGGTCATGCGCTTGAACTGGGAGGGGGAGGTCCAGCGGGCCATGGAGGTTGTGGAAAGACAGAAACGGGACTCACAGCCGGATCTTCCCAGCCTTCTATTCCAGGCTGGCCGCAGTCCGCCAGACTTGCACCGTGGTGGCGAAGTTGGCCCATTGCCCGATCGTGTAAGTGGGGACACGGGCACCACGGACAGTGCAGAGTGAAGGGTGGACGTTCGGGGAAGGCATGGCCACGACTGTGTGTAGGAACTGTCGAGGTTTACGTCTGCTCCGGCATGGGCTGGTGAGTTGCCTGACTCCTGGCATGAGCCGAGGGACATCTTGCGCGGGCTGTGTGGACTCAGAGACTGCAAGCATGCGCTGGCGGATGGGGTTGTGCATGACATGGGACGAGCAGGGGGCGGATCAAGAGTAGACAGTCGGCCATTCAATTATTTCATTTTATTTGCGAGTGTGTTGCGCCACCTGGTGTCTTGTTCTGTTGCCAATGTGTTTTGGTGCCAAGACACCTTGTGCAAATGCCAAACGCTGCGCCCGTCCACTGTATTGGGAACCGCCATCCCGGCTGCTGCCCATGGGAAGCAGGCGCCGGAACGCTTCATGCAGATGTACAGAATTTGGCCACCAGATTCTTGAGGGTACTCCACTGTGCGGCGAAGCGCATGGCCACAACAGCCGGACGTGCCTCCACTCCTGACACAACCTCCTTCCGTCGTGGGCTGTCCACTTGTTCCTTCCAGGGCTGATGTAACCGTTGAAAAATCGAAAAGAGAACCGAACATGCATCGGAAAATACGTGGAATACAACTTGCCGAAGAATCTGCATCGGTAGCAACCCCGCGCTGTGCGCACAGCTAGTGGAACTAGGGCTGTAGCAAAGAGTCTTCAGCGGCGCAGCCAGTGTCAGTGAACTAAAGGAGCACTCCAATCTGGATGGAAACTTGAGAATGCGCAACAAGGTCCACCACCTGCCCTCATCCAAGGCCTCATGGTGTTGCTTCCCAACGTACGCGCGCGGCAGGGACGCCACTGCTAGCGTTGCGCAATCGTCAACATCGAATAGCGGCGCAACTCTGGAATACAGCAAAACTTCGTGTCGCGCACAACCTGCCTATACCAGAACGTCGACGCAGAGAGAACCTCTGAGATATCTCGATGGCGCCACACGACAACGTTTGCATCCCTCCTGCACAAACAACACAGTTTCAAACCAACTCCCTTGACCGCAAAGGGCTCCGCTACACTCGACAGGAATCGCACAATGCTCAAGCCTGCACCGTTGATCCTAGGCCGCAATGACTTGAAATAACGGCGGGGTGTGGGCGGCTAGGGTGCCCTCAGCCGGGAATGGTGATGGGCAACCGGTCGATCCCACAGTCCGGAAGTTTGGGGAGCAGGTCGCTCAGATTGTCATGCAGCTCCCTCGTCTCCTCGCAGAGCTCCTCCAGCAAGAACTGGAAACTGTACCACCGC